GACTGAAACATCTATAGGGATACCAAGGTGCTTGTTTTTAAAGCCATTGTCTTCCCAGCCCTGTTATACGCCTGCAAAACGTGGACTGTCTACAGATGTCATACACAACTCCTGGAAGAATTCCATCAGCCCTGCTTCTGAAAAATCCTACAAATCTCATGGGAAGACAGACAGACCAATGTCAGCGTGCTGGAAGAAGCAAAAACTACCAGCACTGAAGTGATGGTCCTCCGCCATCAACTTCGCTGGACTGGCCACGTTGTCTGAATGCCTGGTCACCTTCTCCCAAAGCAGTTGCTCTACTCTGAACTCAAGAATAGAAAATGGAAATTAGGGAATAGGAAAAGAGATTTAAATATGGGCTTAAAACTGTGGCATAGACACTGAGAACTGGGAAGCCCTGGCCCTTGAGCATTCTAACTGGAGGTCAGCTGTGACCAGCAGTGCTGCAGAATTTGAAGAGGCACGATTGGAAGGCAAAAGTGAGAAACATGCCAAGAGGAAGGTACATCAAACCAACCCTGATCGGGACTGCCTTCCATCTGGAAACCATGTGGATCATGTCCTCCCTCAGGGCTCCACAGCCACTTATGGACACACCGCCAAGACACCAAATCTGGAAGACAATCATCCTCGAGCTACAAGAAATCTCCTAAGTAATAGGATCACTTTAGTCTTACCGTGAATCTGAAATGACTTCAAAGCATGCAACTTTAAGAACAACAAATATCAAATGTATACGTCCCTACTCCCTTCATTCTCATGCAAAGTTAAGATATGACTTTTCATTACAGCTTCTTAGGTCTAATGACTTCATCCAGAACCATGTGTGCATATAGTTTTAAAGTATGTTAGCTTTAAAAAACGTTTAATGTGTGCTTTTTGAGAACATTTACATTATTTTTCATTGTTCTAAATTGTTTAAACTGATTTTATTGTTAGCCACCCAGATATGATAGGAACTGGATATAAATATTTTAATAAGAAATAGAAGAGGAGAAGAAAAAAGAAACCTTTGTGCTTCTGAGTGAACTTTCAAATGAGGTCTCTTCTCCAGCACTCATTTAGAGGGAGGGAGAGATTTCAGACTGAGATGGAGACAGGAGAGAACGATGTCAACTTTTCCAATTAAAGTTCTCATTGAATTTGGCAGAGTTCTGGGTATTTGGAGCCTCTCCTTTGTACTCTCACCTTTGCTGTGCACATAGTGAAGCTTTCATCAAATTGCCTAGGGCCGCTTTCCATGTTTTGGGGAGCAAACCAGCATTTGTCATAGGGTTTGCACACACAGAATCATAGAATCAAAGAGTTGGAAGAGACCTCATGGGCCATCCAGTCCAACCCCCTGCCAAGAAGGAGGAATATTGCATTCAAATCACCCCTGACAGATGGCCATCCAGCCCCTGTTTAAAAGCTTCCGAACAAGGAGCCTCTACCACACTCCAGGGCAGAGAGTTCCACTGCTGAACGGCTCTCACAGTCAGGAAGTTCTTCCTCATGGAATCTTTGAATACACCATCCATTGCAGCTAGTAGTTCCTTTGCCATTTGGTGGTGAATCCATTATGGAGTTTATTCTGAGTTTTGAAGTATTTACCCAAGGACCTGACCCTATTTGGATTGGGTGGGATTCAGCACTTTGGATAGCTACTTTAAAGATCAAAAGCAAAGCCAAAATGGATTCATGTGGGAGCCAGGAACTGCCTTTGAATATATCTGTACCCAGTCCTGCTATTTGACAATGCACTTTTGTAAAATAATTTATATTAAAATGATTGTCATGTTCACACTTTACATTTTCAGGTGACTATTTAAAGAAAAATCTAAAGTGTCCAGTTTTTCCCCCCGTGTCTGGAGCGACTTGAGAAACTGCAAGTCACTTCTTGTGAGAGAGAATTGGCCGTCTGCAAGGACATTGCCCAGGGGATGCCCGGAAGTTTTACCATCCTGTGAGAGGTTTTTCTCATGTCCCCACATGAGAAGCTGGAGCTGACAGATGGGAGCTCACCCCACTCCCCAGATTTTAACTGCTGACCTTTTGGTCAGCAGTCTTGTCGGCATAAGGGTTTAACACATTGTGCTACCGGGGACTTTTTGTGTACAGATAAAAATGTGAATTTTAAAGCTGGTTTGTGGACTTCATTGTGTTAATGTAAGATTAGTGTAATGAGAATGTTTAAATGTAATTCTGTGTAATGCCTGTGATTGTAACCTGATTGCATTAGTAGAGAGTGTATTGACTCTGAAGGGGTTAATCAGTCAAGTCTCTAATTAACTGTGAAGTTGTGACCCTGAGTGTGCCTGGAACGCGTAGGGAGAATTCAGAAATAAGATTTAGTTCGTCCTTTTTACTTTGATGCTTTTGTCTTGTGTCTGTTCTTTTTGGTTGAGTGTCAACTCAGTAAAGCTATACGTTTGCTTTTACTAAAGTCTCAAAGTGTCCATTCTTGTAAGCTTCAAAGCTTCTGTCGCTCTCTGACACATTGTGCAAAGCAGAGGCGCTCATCAGCTGTCCCCATTTCTTGGGATTTAAGTAAGAGCTGAACACTTGGAAATCCTACATGGAATGAGAGGAAACTATTAACGTAGGAATCAAAAGTATTCATCAGTCTGAACGAGAATAGAATAAAGTTTCAGCTTGCACAGAAGCCTTTGCTCAAGCCCTTTAATGGAGCCCGCTGGCCATAGCAGCAATATTCTCATTGTGTTGATGCACCAGTTAAAAATACCACAGAATGTCTTTTAATATTGTACTAAAGGAAAACAGAGCTGCCAAATAAGTTTCTATGCAGTTTCTATGGGAAGTGAAGAAAACAAGGGAAATAAATTTCCATACTGCAAACAGCTGATTTGCTCTTGTCTCTTTTATTTGTTTATTTCATGTCAAAAGCATTGCATAAATTATATATAATACTGATAATATAAAGGGATCACAAGCAGCGTAATAGTTTTAGACTAGAAACGGGGAACAACAACTGCATTGTCTGTAGCTTCAAACAGTTCTTCCTCTGTGGATGAGGCAGGGCATTGTGGGCAAGCGTACAAATGCTGAGTTGTTTGTTCTGCTCCACAGTCACACAAGGTGGAGGATTCTTTTAGGCAGTGCCATTTAGCCAAGTTGTCTTTTGATCTGCCAACTTCACTTCTGAGTCCATTCAGGGACTTCCAAGTTGCCCATTCTTGGTTTGTCTCAGGAGGAACACCCTTATGGAAGGCCATCCAGTTGGAATTGCCTGATTTTGATGCCCAAAGGGATATTCTTGCTTTTGTTGATGGAACATTTCGAGGAGTGGTAGTTCCCATGAAGATTTTCCTTGATTTAAGCCTGCTGGGAGGAGGCTGGTAACCATATAGTATTCACAGTATTCAGCCTTATTTCTCTTGCAATTGGCAGCAACTTCCCATTGCACATCAGAGGGGGGCAATGCCAGCCAGCTTATAGAGTCTATCAGCATGTGTAGATTTAAGTCATCCTGTGATTACTCTACATCTCTCATCCAGTGTTATATTCACCTGTTTTCCATGGGCAGATTTATGCCAGATGGGACAGGCATACTCAGTAGAGTAAGACAAGGCCAGGGCTGATGTTCTTATTAATTTTGGGTCTGCACCTCATACGCTAACTCTTGTCTCTTGGGGGACATAAAATTAACATACTGTTGTATTTACCGTTCTGTCGTCAGTTCTATTATATATCATAATATTTCTCAATCAGCATAAAACCAATGTGTGGAATAGTGGTTCTCAGAAGGAAATTTTAGCCATAACTTAATAACTGGCTCTTTCACTTTATTATTAACCTTGCCCTTGCAGTTGTATTGCACACATTGACTTGGCCCTTCTAGCCTAATTTATCATCTGGTTCTTGCAGTTCTATTTGCGCAAGCCCTTGCCTTCTCCTTTAGTTTTGAACATGGCCACTGTGCGCAACTACTGGTTGTTGATTGATGGTTTGAGTTTTTATAATGCTTTGAATATGGATTTTATTGTGTTGTATTTTAACCTGGTCCCCATGTAAGCTGCCCCGAGTCCCTTCGGGAAGATGGTGGTGGGATACAAAAATAAAGTTATTGTTATTGTTATTAAATAAGTCTCTCTTTAGCTACATCAGCTTTGGTTCATGTGTGTTCAGCAGAAGAAAACTTCTCCCATTTTATGAGTTTGTGTGGCCCCCCCGATCACCACCAAAGCCCCCAGTTAGGCATGCCTAACCCTCCTAGATTTAAATTCACCAATTTTCACCTCCTTGGGGCCAAAGTGGTCCAAAACTTCCTGCAAATTCATTGGTTTGGATGACAAATCAAAGGAAAGGGTTTGTAACATTTTGTGCATCTTGTTCACATGTAATACTGGGGATCACAGTAGAATTGAGCATTCAGTGGAAGGAATATGTAGATATTTGTTCCTGCCATCATATTTGTGTCAGGCTCCTGCATGAGTTATTTTCATCCTTGTTGCACCTCTAATTATGCAGTTTTTGCATTTTTGCTGCCTAATTCAAATCAGTTTGTGCCTCCAGTTTGTAGTCATGTTTTTATGTGAACATATTTCTGATTAAATTCCATGTTTCTAGTCTTTTTCTATTTGTCAAGCTTAGTTAGGAGCTAACTAAATAAATTTTAAATATTGGACAACTGAAAACAATTAGTAGTGCTGCATCTTTCCAATTATGCATTCTAATAGTCATAGTATAGAACAGGCATGGGCCAACTTGGGCCCTCCAGATGTTTTGGACTTCAACTCCCACCATTCCTAACAGCCTCAAGCCCCTTCCTTTTCCTCCTCAGCCGCTTAAGTAGGAAAAGAAAAGGGCCTGAGGCTGTTAGGAATGGTGGGAGTTGAAGTCCAAAACACCTGGAGGGCCCATGTTGACCCATGCCTGGTAGAGAACGTTTCCTGTAACTATTAACTTTGACCAATCATGTTGTGATTCCCTTTTGCTCTCTATTGGAGAGACTTATCAATAAAAAGCTATCTATTTGTTCTTCAATCTGTTTGCAGTTTCAAGGTCAAGTCAATCTCCATGTGTTTGAAGACTGGTGCGGAGGCTCTATAGAACAGCTGAGGAGAAACCTCCACTTCCCATTATATCCTCATGTGAGTATTTTGCTAGCATTTCCTTCTGTCAAATGAAGCGAGAGCCCTCCCCTTCTAGGTTCTGTATTATGTTTTCTTATCAGCCACTAAAGGGTCATCAGCCTAACTTGGTGGAGCCCCCGGTGGCACAATAGGTTAAACCAGTGGTTCCCAGCCTGTGGGTCCCCAGATGTTTTGGCCTTCAACTCCCAGAAATCCTAACAGCTGGTAAACTGGCTGGGATTTCTGGGAGTTATAAGCTAAAACACCTGGGGACCCACAGGTTGGGCATCCCCTGGGCAACATCTTTGCAGACGGCCAATTCTCAAGTCACTCCTGAGATGAAAAAAAAGAAGCTTGGCCATAGAAAGCATTGGGAGGAACATATTTGTGGATTGTTGTAGGTTTTTTCAGATTCTATGGCCATGTTCTAGAGGCATTCTCTCCAGATGTTTCGCCTGCATCTATGGCAAGCATCCTCAGAGGTAGTGAGGTCCTTTAATTCCAACAGACCTCACTACCTCTGAGGATGCTTGCCATAGATGCAGGCGAAACGTCAGGAGAAAATGCCTCTGGAACATGGCCATATAGCCCGAAAAAACCCACAAGAACCTAGTGATTCCAGCCATGAAAGCCTTCGACAATAAATTGTATTTCTGCTTTCCATACTCTTTCCTTCAGACACGGACCACTTTGAAAAAACTGGCAGCGGCTCCAAAATGGACAAACTACGGATTGCGCATATTTGGCTATCTGCATCCATTCAGTGATGGTGAGGAGAAATTTAAAAGCATTAGGAGGAAGAAGAACGAATGGGGATTTTGCACAGAAACCTGTTTCTCCCTCTGCCTCCATCCCAACTTCAGAAACTTCTCAAAGAGTTGTGATGCGCTACTAAGAGTTTATGAGCTGACTACAGTATTGTATTGCATTGGAGAACCTAGGGATTCCTATAGAGCAGGCCTGAGCAAACTTGGGCCCTCCAGGTGTTTTGGACTTCAACTCCCACCATTCCTAACAGCCTCAGGCCCCTTCCTTTGCCTGGGGGGGGGGGGGGGGGGAAGGAAAGGGCCTGAGGCTGTTAGGAATAGTGGGAGTTGAAGTCCAAAACACCTGGAGGGCCCAAGTTTGCTCAGGCCTGCTATAAAGGTATTTTCCTAGGGATCACTAGGTCCTTGGGACTCCTTAGTTTTAATCCCCTGGTTCAAATTCTCAGGGGAAATGCAGTCATATAAACACGCACAAATGCCATTTGTGTGTTTTTTGGCAGGCATTTGCTTGAAATTTGTGCAATTTGGCAGGCAGATTATACACAAAAGATAGAAATCAATCAATCAAATGGATGTATATCAAGAAAGCAGTGTTTGCTTGGGGTTTCCGTGTTGTGTCTAATAACATGACAGGTGTGTGCCAAAAGCTTTAACCGGTTTGACTGCTTTATCCTCTGAATTACAACTTTGTGAAATGCCTAAAGAGCTCTCTGGCAAAGGCTCAAAATGTAATCCTATGAGTCTTTTGCAAGTGTGAAAGGAGGAGAACCGTGACCATTCAGGGCGCATCTGCACTGTAGAATGAATGCAGTTTGAAATCACTTTAACTGCCATGGATCAATGCTATGGAATCCTGGAAATTGTAGCTTGATGAGGCACCCTCATTATTTGGCAGAGAAGGTCCAAAACTTTGTAAAGCTACAACTCCTATCATTCCACAGCATTGAGTCATGGCAATTAAAGCAGTGTCAAACTGAATTAATTCTACAGTGTAGATATACCCACAAACCCAGATTAGGTTTGTAGTGTAGTCTGCAGGATACATGCTAATTCCTTAGTCTACATGTGGTAAGAGGCTTCTTGCACTGAAGAAAAGAGAGGATAGGCAGGAAGAAAGACACCTGTGGAACTATATTTATGCTTCAACTGCCATGACTGCATCCCATTGAATCCTGGGGTTTATCATCTGATAAGATACTAGGACTCTCTGGCTGAGAAATACCTTTCCATAAACTGCAAACCCCAGAAACCTATCAAATCTTGTTTGGTAGTTGGTGGACTTATTTACACAATCCCTCATTGTCTGAGTTTGATGACCTTCCAAGTGTAGTGTCTTGGTGGTGGGTCCGTAGGTGACTGTAGGGAGCCCTATTCTTGATCCACAAGTTCTCCCACAGTGAGGACAATGGTTTCCAGGTGGAAGGCGGTCCCAGTCAGGGTTGGCTTGATGCGCCTTCCTCTTGGCATGTTTCTCCCTTTCACCCTCCATTCATGCCTCTTCGAATTCCACAGCACTGCTGGTCACAGATGACTTCCAGTTAGAGTGCTTGAGAGCCAGGGCTTCCCAGTTCTTGGTATCTATGCCACAGTTTTTGAGGTTCGCTTTAAGCCCATCTTTAAATCTCTTTTTCTGTCCACCTACATTCTGTTTTCCGTTCTTGAGTTGGGATTATAGTAACTGCTTTGGGACATGATGATCAGGCATTTGTGGCCAGTCCATCGCTTCAATACTGGTGATCTTAGCTTCTTCCAGCACACTGACATTCGTCCACCTGTCTTCCCAAGAGATGTGCAGGATTTTTTTTTGGAACGCTGATGGAATCATTCCAGGAGTTGAGTGTGACGTCTTTAGACAGTCCACATTTTGCAGGCTTATAACAGGATTGGGAGAACAAAAGCTTTATAAACAAGCACCTTGGTATCCTTACGGATGTCCCAGTCCTCAAACTTCCTCAATCCTAGTTAGTTGAATAATGCTTGTATTGATGATGCAGTGTTAAACGGCCTGTGAAGTTTTGCAGAATGCTGTATTGTACTCCTTGTTGATCATTGATGGAAAATAATATTTCTCAGGTGATCTGATCTGGGGGACCAGCAGTGATTTCTTCCAGTGTAGCAGGGACCAATATGATATTTACATATATTGGAAACTCACCAGAGAGCAACATCCAATGGCATTGAGAGCTGGTGCCAATCTGGAGGGGGGGGACCACTTTGAGTAGCCCTTATGTATAGAATTGGCTGCTTCACACTGGATCCCAAGGAGGAATTAAAATCACTCTTGATTGAAGGAAAACGTGCTCATTCTTTCTTCCAAATGAAACTTCTCGATCTTCTTGCTAATCCCAAGAATCTTGTCCTAGGTGAGTTTCAGTTTGCCATTGCAGCCGATGACAATGCAGAGTTCTGGCTGAGTCCAAGTGAGAACATCTCAGATCTCCAACTCCTGGCCAGTGTGGGCAAGGTATAGTATCTGGTTTTCTGATTTCTTTGATTTTATCCTACCTTATATATACTTGATGAAGAGATACAGAGAAATACATTATTGAAGTCTTATAATGCCTGTAATAATGATACCCCTAAATTCGGACACTATGTGATTCATGTTTATGGACTGTACTGCCTACAGTGAATTACCTAATGTAGTCCTAGAATGTATTGGAAATGACCTGGTTTATACAGATCCATCGAGTTTGAACACTTCTCTAAAATCCTTTTGGAACCCCAACTGGAAATGTTGCAATTATCAGATGGGAAAGTTGGAACAATATTAATCTGCTAACTATACTTATTATATAAACCTTCAGAAATGTATGAGACTCCTATCAAAAGATACTCTTTCTTATGTGCGGTACTATGATTTCACTGCCATGGCAGTTAAGGTGGGGGGTCAATCTGAATTAATTCTATTGTACAGATGCACCCTGAGAGTGGAAGAATTTGAAATGAAAGGAATGAACAAATAATTGTGCCAAGTTTATGGATCTTTGAAAACATATCTGTAGACCTCAAATTAAGAACCCCTAAAACGTTTTCCTACCTACTTTTAGATTAACGGACACTATAACAACTTGTAAGCCTGGCATCAGGTGAGGATTCCCCTGAACAATTTCAACCTTAGGAAAGTTGCTATCTCCCATTCTAATGTCCTCATCTATGAGGGCAAACTTTGTCCCTCCAGGTGTTTTGGACTTCAACTCCCACAATTCCTAACAGCCTAACGCCTGTGCTGACAAAGGCTTTCATGGCTGGAACCACTGGGTGGCTGTGAGTTCTTTGGGCTGTATCACCATGTTCCAGAAGCATTCTCTCCTGACATTTCACCCACATCTATGGCAGGCATCCTCAGAGGTTGTGAGGTCTGTTGGAAACTAAGCAAGTGGGGTTTATATATATGTGGAATGTTCAGGGTGGGAGAAAAAACTCATGTCTGCTTGGAACAAGTGTGAATGTTACAATTGACAGCTGTTAGGAATAGTGGGATTTGGAGACCGAAATACCTGGAGGGCCGAAGTTTGCCCTTGCCTGAGCTATAATAATGAGATGCTCTTCTGGCCAAAGGTTCTAGAATTACTAAAAATAGCAATTCGTGACACTGTCATCTTTAATCACTGAATATTTGCACTGTTTATTTTGTGGTTGGGTGCATGCAACTGCTCAGTAAAGCAAGTGCGAGGCAGCCCCATGTGAATGATCCATAATGTAAAGGGCACATTCTCTATCTTTGGGCAGACCGGAAAGGAGTGGACAGCACCTGGGGAGTTTGGAAAATTCAAGAACCAAATCTCAAAGCCAGTGAAGTGAGTGGAAATCATGTTAACTCCTTCTATAGTGTGTAGCCACTATTACATTTGCTTGCCAGATTTTCTTGACTTGTGATTTAGGTATATTAGTCTGGAAAAGAGCATCTTGCCTGGTTTGTAAATTTTCCTTTCAGAGTATTGCAAGTTAAAATGCTTGCGAATGGGGGAGATGTCTCCTTCTATCCTTCTCACTATGGTTTGGTAGCGTACTCTTAAATTAATTTCAGAGTGCTCTCTAGTGTCCATTTTTAGTATTTTCTGGACATATGGGGGTGGGTCAAAAAGTTTTGCCTCCTGTGTCATAAAAACATTATAAATGAACATATAACAGCAGAAGTTTGTTTGTTTATTTATTTTACAGTATTTATATTCTGCCTTTCTCACCCCAAAGGGAACTCAGGGCGGATCTCACCTCAGGGGCGGATCACAATGTACATATACACGGCAAATATTCAGTGTCGTTTTTGGCATACAAGACATACAGAGAGACAGAGGCAATTCAGCAGTTCTTCGACCTCAGATCCTCCTGGAGGTTGCTCGATTTGGCCACAGGGGGAGCTGTTGCTTTCTCCACTATGACGTCGAGCCTTTTTGATCGTAGTATTTCCTCCTTGCTCTCCGGTATTTTAATGGTGTCATAAATTAGCCTCCCTGCTTTAAGCAGTGCCTAATTTCTCTACTCACAGCTCACAGCTGTTTTCAAACTACTTAGGTCGACAGTGAGCTGGGCAATTTTTTTAACAGCTATTTTTTTAACAACTATTAACAGTTGGGCGTTTAACCCCAACTCAGGCTTTGCACTTGCCACCTTTCGGTCAACAGTGATTTCTTGCAACTGATTAACCAGTTATGCTACCAGCCCGGCCCTGGTAGCACAACTAGTTGCACAAAAAGTTGCTACAGATCATAGCCTGTCCTCTGCACAAAACTACAGTTCAACATGGTCACCATCGGTTTGTACACATTTGCACCATAATTTAACCCAGGCATCAAAACCATTTTGGAAAAATGCAGGGTTTTGCTTCGTGACCCATGATTTTAAAGCTGTTTTAACATCATTCAAGTCATTGAATCTGAAACCACATAGGTTGACTTTCAGATGACCTCTGGCTTCTCTGTGTTGTCTGACATTGAATGTCATTAAACAACTTTAAAATCAAGGGTCATGAAGCAAAATCCTGATTTTTTTTCCAAAATGGTTTTGATGCCTGGTTAAACAATGGTACAAATGTGTACAAATTGATGGTGACTATGTTGAATGGTAGTTTTGTGTAGAGAACAGTTCAGGCTATGATCTGTGGCAACTTCTGTTGTTATATGTTCATTTATAACGTTTTTATCACGCAGGAGGCAAAACTTTTTGACCCACCCATGTACATTGACTCTTCTCCCCATGCCAGATAAGACAAATTTACCTTTACAGATTTCTTAATAATCTAACTTCATGGATTCATGCAGTAATTGATGTACATGTATTATTTGACAGCTTAGCCATCTAAAATTTTTCATTAATTTTAATGTAACACATTGAAGTGATCAGTAGTGTGAGGAAGTATAATTCATTAATGGTTTGTTTTCCTGATTTATTACAAGTTTCCCCAAGAGCAAGAAAACAGTAAATGCAATGAGATCTATTAATTATATGACTTTTAAAAAGCTTGTTCCTAGTGACTTTGGGTTCTTTCTTTGGTTTCTTCTTTCTTCTTGGTTACCAGCCCAAAAAGCGTATATCCCAACTTTAACAAAAGGATAGTTAAAGTGATCTGGTTGCTTTGGCATCTAAAGATCTTTGGAAGATATTCTGCATTCAGAGCAAGAAACTCAGGCTTGTCACTTTTTCTTTTGACAGATTGTCATCCACAAATAAGTACTACTTTGAGGTACTACACAAGCAAGATGACCAAGGAACAGACCACGTGGAAGTAGCAGTAAGTGTTTAGACTAGTTATAGCCCAGGCATGGGCAAATTTTGGCCTTCTAGGTGCTTTGGACTTCAACTCCCACAATTCCTAACAGCCTCAGGCCCTTTCCTTTCCCCCTTGAGGTTGTTATGAATTGTGGGAGCTGAAGTCCAAAACACCTGGAGGACTGAAGTTGTCCATACCTGCTATAGCGTTTAGTTTGGATAGTGGTCATTGTTGATTTCAGTCTGATTCTTCAAATACAATAGGGGGGCTGAAGCAATCAAAGCTGATCCATATGCAGACCTCAAAGGATGTTGTAGTTGTAAATAGTACCAAGGTGCACCAGCAGGTAACTGATAATTAGATTCAAATATTGAAAAAGACCAAAACAAATTGGCTTGAGTCAATCAAGCTATCCAGAGTAAACATCCCAATATGGTGTAGTGGGTTGACCATAGATTGTACTACTATTGGAGACAAGGGCTAAAATCCCCACCCAACAATAGAAACCCACTTGGTTTCACAGAGGAAGAGGAAGACAAAGGTAGTTCTTCTTTGAACAAATCTTGCCAAGAAAAGCTCTTGATGGGCCCACCTTAGTTTCATCCCAAGTTTCACCCTAATGTTGAAACAACAGTAAAGATCCTACAATTGAGATATTTTTTAATCAAAACAATTATCCTATAATATTCAAATAGGGTTAGTTTATTATGACCATATGGATTATTATTATTATTATTATTATTATTATTAAACTTTATTTGTACCCCGCTAGCATCTCCCGAAGGACTCGATGCGGCTTACAAAGGCCAAGGCCTCAATACACAACATAACAATACACTTAAAGCAAATTAAAAACAATTAAAGCAGTATTAAAACAACAAAACCACAAGCAATAAACAATACATCAACAAGATAAAACTGGGCCGGGCCAGAGTACAGGGTACAGGATTAAACAGTGCTGATGTGACAGGATTAAAAAGTGCTGATGTGACAGGTGAGCACTTAAAAAGTGCTGATGTGACAGGGCAAGTGCAGTCTTAATTCTAATAAAGTGCTTCTGGGACTTGGTATTGGAGATTTCCTAATCGGGAAAGGCACATCGGAACAGCCAGGTCTTCAAGTTCTTTCTGAAGACTGCCAATGTAGGGGCCTGTCTAAGATCTTTGGGGAGGGTGTTCCAGAGTCGGGGGGCCACCACGGAAAAGGCCCTGTCTCGTGTCCCCACCAAACGCACTTGCGACGCAGGCGGGATCACGAGCAGGGCCTCTCCAGATGAGCGTAGTGAACGCGTGAGTTCGTAGACGGAGATGCGGTCACGCAGGTAGGCTGGTCCCAAACCGTTCAGGGCTTTGTAGGTAAGCACCTGCACCTTAAATTGGGCTCGGAAGATAAACGGCGGCCAGTGGATGAAATTCTAGCTGGCAAAATATTGTACGTCAAGCCATTCTGTTAGCAGAAATCACAGGGGCAAAACCCATTTATTTTTTAAGTGAATTGAATCTAAGATAGTGTATTCTAGAAAGTTTCCAAATAAGTTGATGCCCACATTTTCTAAGGAGAAGTATCCAAATTGGACTGTGTTTTTCAGTGATTTGTATGAGTCAGAAAATATGCCATATCTCAAAATATGCCATATCAAGTTTGGAAAATTGCACTTGCCTTTTAAATGAAAAACATTAGTATCCCTATGTAAATTTCTTTAAAATATTGTTGATTTCCTGAAATTAAACCTGAGAGACACAAATACCTTAAAGAACATAGTAACATCCATTTTAACTATGTTAACTTTACCTGAAATCATTGATTTGAGTGACACATCCATAGATATTTCAGCAAGTGACAAATTCAGTTTTTATAATTTGAGTAATATCCCAAGGAGCCAATATGTCCAAATATGGAATATTATTGAAACACCAACAAAACTTTCCAGTTGGCAAACAATCCAGAAAGGGTATTAAATCCAACAGTCACGGCCTCAGATTTAGGTCAATTAGCAGAATAGCCATAAAAAAGCACTGAAAGTTGAAGACTGTTTAAGACTGACAGATCACAACAGCTGTCAATCTCTCACCTTGTATCTCCCTTTGAAAGTTGCATTCCAGAAGGCATCCATGAATGCAAAGCCATAAAATGTATTCATTCTTACTTACTTTTTCAAGAAAATGTGTTTTAAAATTTCAACAAATCTTAGTGTCATTGTTTGTTAATGATAAATGTGACAATTTCCTTGTAATAATTACAAAGAAAGAATGAAAAATAGCCTTAACTATTGGTCCCAGTAAAAACTCAATTGTAATTCATGCAATAACTTCACAGTGGTCTTCAAATTAGTGGACTTTTTCAGTCTTAGTGGAGTTGTTGTATATGCATTTGATATACCTGTCCTGCCACCTTGTGTCCAGAATGGCAAATTATATGGTTTGGTGTATCAATTTTTAAAAGTTTAAAAAAAATAAAATTGCGAACTACAACTCCTATTATCCATGTTCAGATTGATAAAAACTGTATTTGGATTCTTTGGTTGATAGTTGTGCAGATATGTTACAGACCGTTCTCTGATGATTTTCATAACTGACAAAAGATTTATATGCCTTGATCTCTTTTTTCAGTGGAAGTTGAATCACCCAGAAAACAACTTTGCAATTATTGACTCTCAATTCCTCTCCCTTTATATTAGTAAGTATCTTCCGACCAGAAAGTTAATATTGCTCAAACAGCTTTGAATTCATTGACTCATGTAATTCATGAAAGGTTTTGCAGTATGCACTAGACTAGAAAAATACAAAACTTACTGTTTTTAGTGAGATTTATATTCTGCCTTTCATCCAATGTATTCTGGGAGATTAGTGAAATGGGCAATGGGAAAATATCTCCCACTGCTTGGAAAACACAATTTATTTCTTATTAGTATTATGTTTATTTATACCCAGCTTTCTCTCTCCACAAGGAGAATCAAAACAGCTATGTCTTCTTTTCTTATTGATCTTTTTGTTTTAGATGAAAGCCTTTTAAAAATGGATGGGGTTAGCCACATCCCACAGACCTTGGCTACTCGTCGGAGTCGGATCCTGCCCAGTCGGGCTGCAATGGAGCACCCAGCAGACATGCTGAAGCTTGACCCCCGAGATACTATTTACGCATGTAAGCATCAAAGCATTGGAGTGCATTGGAGTGCCAGGACAGGGAGAGACACCTTCTGTACCCGAAGGTGCCACACTAATAATCAAAATAAGCAAAAAATAATAATCTCAACTTTTCTAATAAATGAAAACTACAAGGAACTGGGTCTAATACATAGACTGTGGCAGGATAATTCTTGAAGGTAAAAATACAAAAATGCTATGATTAGGACCACCCAAAATGTCAACAAAGCTTTTGAATTCTCCAGAATTCATCCTCTGATCTTTATGCTTAAATACTGGAGAACATACCTTTTTCTTTGCATACCTTTTTCTTTAAAGCAGAAAGAGCAACTCAATTCATTTTTAAGCAGACATACCAGATCAAAGCAGGCTATGTAGATGGCTAGAAAGTAAAGGAAGGGAAATGTGTGAAAAGAACCAGAATTAGTAGCACCCAAGGGCCAGAATGATGTAGTGGTTTGAATACCGGACCAGGGTTCATATCCCCATTCTGCCATGGAAACCCACAGAGTGAATGGATAAGACACACTCTCTTATTCTCAGAGGGAGAGGCAGTGGGAAGCCAGTTTGTCCAGAAATGCTTTAGGGTTTCCCTATATTGGAAATAACTTAAAGGCACGCCACCGCAACATTGGAAGAACACAGTATTCAATATGTTACAGATCAGTTTGAGATGGCTCTACAGAAGTATTGCATCTATATAAATAAAAATGTAATGTTTGTTTGTGGGATTAACATAACTCAAAAACCACTGGACGAATTGACACCAAATTTGGACACAAAACACATATCAAGCCAACGAGTGACCATCCCTCATAAAAACACTGAAAAACACAGCAGACAAGATTCAAAAAGCCAAAAAAAAGATACATTACAACACATATATACTATATATGCAAACACGCATATATACACATATACACAAATATATACACACACAAAACACATATACACAGACTGGGCCACAGCAATACATGGCAGGGGATGGCTCATCTGTAATAAATCACTTTACTAGGAATGTAAAACTATTTTAGTCATTGTCTCTTTATCAGTTATTTTTCTTTTTTGTCTGCTTCTCAGTGCCTCTCATAAGAAAGTCACAGATTCGCAAGATCTTTCCTGACTGTCCCTACAAACCAAGCTACTTAGTCAATGGGCTTCCACTAAGCCGCTACCAAGGACTCCAGTTTGTAAGTGTCATTCTTCAATTCAAGGATTTGTCAACTCAGGTTATGTTAAGAGATGGCTTCATTATAAGAAAAAGTGTAGTTATCTGGCCATAATGGCAAGTGGTTGGTCAACAAATAGCAACCATTTATCTTGCCCCCTACCTTTCTATTCATTTATTTATGTTAAGGCCCTGCTTCTTAAACTGTGGGTCTTGACCCCAAATGGGTCCCTTTAGTTTCCCACCAGTGGTCCCCTAGAACTAAAATATGGTCCACAGCCTCACTGTTACTATACCATTGCAATGAGAGTGACTGGTCTTGCAAAGCTCTCTTATGGTGCCAAGGCAACAGGGATGTCAGGAAGGGAGAGGCTGACCAACCATGAAAGGTGTGATAACAAGCCTCCTGACTGCTGTTTCTCCTCCTCCCTCCCTCCCTCCGTTCCATGTGGGATCTGGAAGTGGGGGCACCTTGGTGTCTTTGTTTTTAGGCCTGTTCTTGGAATTATTGGGGGTGCTGATTCAGAAAATTGCATTGGATTGACCACATCAGCTCTAGATTATTAAATATAGTTTTTTGTGACTGAGCAGATGGCAACTACTGGATGGCATATATTTTTTATCAGAAATTAGAGCTGATGTGGTCTATCCAATGCAATTTTCTAAATCAGCACCCCAAATAACCAAACCGAATCTAAAGTTGACCAAAAACTGATTTGCAACCCTTTTAGTACTTATGTTGGAGAGTGGTCCCTGATCAAAGTGATTCCTGTTCAAGTGGTCCCTGGTCAAAAAAAGGTTGGGAACCACTGCTTTAGGTCAATGTTGGAGGTCACAAAAATTGGCAACAATAAACAAGTTTCTGAACACTGCTAATTTACAGAAATCTGTTAGCAACAGCATGCAATGTTTCCTGTGGACTCTGCAGAAAATGCTTCAGCTGTACTTCATAAAAAAAGGGAAATCAGCCAGTTTAGCAAGTCTTGCAAACGTTGATTTACTTTCAGTAAACGTTTGATTTTTATTTCTAATACCTGAGGTTATGTAAAAATTTCTCAGGCAAAAAGTTGTCACAGGTGGAAAAACTTTAAGAAGTTCTGAGTTAAAGTACCAAACTATATGCATAATGTTAAAAGACCGTAACTTGGTGTGTAAACCTATACTGCAAAGTTAAGGTTGTTCTTTAGAAACTAAGGGTGTTGCTTGTTCTCTTCTTCTTAAAAAAAGATGGTCAGATGTTCTGCATAGTTTCTACTACTGCACACTTGATTAAGAAACCATTAATGTCGCTCATCATTTTTGGCAGATAAACTGCCACTTTGAGTTAGTGTTGCTTCAGTTCTTCATACTCATTCCAATTGAGAGTCTTGCTACAAACCTGATTTTTGTAACCAATGCACTTTGAATATATACTCCCAAATTAGAATAAAAGAAGAATGGGAATTGTGTGGCCCTCCAGATATGGCCACACTGCATCTCCCAATATTCCTCACTGTTTACTAAGTTGTCTGGAACTGCTAGGAGTCCAATTACATCTGGGAAGGCCACATAATTTCCACCTCTAAACAAATAAATTAGAATGCAATGTTGAATGTATCTACTTGGAATTAACTCCTACAGGATTCAGTGGAGCATGCTCCCACATAAATATGCATAGGATTGCATCTGCAAGTCTCCGGAGAATTAGATGGTATCTCAGATTTGAATGTCGTAAGAAAAATTCAATTGATGCTCTTGAGAGGTGCTTACAGGATATCTGAGTAGCATAGATGTTCATTTACCGTATAACTGTTTGTTCTTGTGATTTATAGGGCACTGAGTATGGAATTGTTCTGGCCTCTAGATCAAGCATGGGCAAACGTCAGCCCTCCAGGTGTTTTGGACTTCAATTCCCACAATTCCTAACAGCCTACTAGCTGTTAGGAATTGTGGGAGTTGAAGTCCAAAACACCTGGAGGGCCGAAGTTTTCCCTTTCCTGCTCTAGATATTGATGAACTCCCATTTTAAGCAAGGAAATAGTGAGGAATGCTGGAAGTTGCCATTCAGTGGATTCCAGAGTGTCACGATTATCACCTCATCCAAAAGCAAAACATACAAATTTACTCTGAGGATTAGAAATGATGATTTTTATATGAATTTCTTTTTCCAGGTTCACTTATCATATGTATATCCCAATGATTATACTCGTTTGAGCCATATGGAAACACATAACAAGTGCTTTTACCAGGAAAATGCCTATTATCTGGAGAGGTAAAACTGACCTGTATAACTGAAAATAAGATTCTATTTTGAAGAGAGAGAGAGAGGGAGAGATTGATTGCTGGTCTGATGTTGTTAACCTTCCTCCTACTGTAGGTTTTACAATAACTTCAGACCAATAATATCACAAGGTTGGCAGGAAGATTGTACTAAAAATATTGTATGTGTGCAATTATTGCTGTAATACCCTAATGGCACCGGATCCCCTCTGATCTTGCAAACTAAGCAGGGTCACCTATGATTGTTGCTTGGATGGGAGACTGTCAATAAATACCAGATGCTGTATATTACAAAGGGAGGGGCTAGCAAAACCAACCCTGATTATTCATTGCCTAAGAAAAAAGTATAGTAAAGGTTTCCCCTGACATTAAGTCTAGTCGTGTCTGACTTTTGTGGGGTGGTGCTCATCTTCAGTTTCATTGTCCATAGACACCTCCAAGGTCATGTGGCCAGCATGACTGCATGGAGCACCGTTACCTTCCCACCAGAGCGATACATATTGATCTACTCACATTTGCATGTTTTCGAACTGCTTGGTTGGCAGAAACTAGGTCTAACAGTGGGAGCTCACTCCACCTCCCAGATTCGAACTGCCAACCTTTTGGTCAGCAAGTTCAGCAACTCATCGGTTTAACCTGCTGTGCCACCAGGGAGCCTCTCTTGCCTAAGAAAAACTAATGAGTTTACCATAAGTCACAGGCAACATGAAGGCATGTACATACACATTACCAGTACTACAAATGCATAAGTAGAATAAGCTACATAGTCCTTTAGGAACTGGAGAAGAAAAAGACAGAGATGTAGAACTATTTATTTATTTATTTATTTATTTATTTATTTATTTATTTATTTATTTATGTGCCATGTTTATATTCCACCTTTCTCTACTCCAAGGAGGACTCAAGGCAGTTTACACATGGCACTTAGTGCCTTAAGACATGCAAACGTTAACTTTAAAAAACTGATTAAAATTAATGCATATTAAACATAATTAAAATCCATTACAATGTAAAACAAATTCAAACAATTGGAATTTTATACTATAGGGCTAAGAAGACTAGAAGGTTTATATAACTAGCATAACAATATGAATCGATTCTCCTGGAAAGTTACTATTTTCAAGCTACAGGTAGTAAGTTGTTTGTTCCTCCAGGATGAAGGGAGGAAAACTTGCCTGCATTGATTTTTCAAACAGATTGACAATGAGAAGAATGAAGGAAATACTAAATGCTAGCCAATTCAACAGTGAAGCAGTTCTTGATGCCTGATTTTTCTAACTCCTGCAGGTTTGGATTTTCCAAATACATGAAAATGGACCAATCCGACGGCAGAAACCTAGATTCTGAGGAAATGCTAAAATACCCAGGTATCAATCTTCACGTATAAGAATTTTGGTATATGCTGTTCCCAAATCTCCATATTCTTTTTTGAGTCATGGAAATGTATTGACACATTCAGAAAATGGAGAATGCTGAAGGAATAACTTTATTTCAGTTCACAAATTTAGCTCAGAAAAGAGCGAAATTTAGCCCTGAGTTGCCTTCGGGCTGATATGGGCGGAATAAGCATGATGTAAATAAATAAATATATTGTCGAAGGCTTTCATGGCCAGAATCACTGGGTTGTTGTAGGTTTTTTCGGGCTATATGGCCATGGTCTAGAGGCATTCTCTCCTGACGTTTTCGCCTGCATCTGTGGCAAGCATCCTCAGAGGTAGTGAGGTCTGTTGTAACTAGGAAAAAGGGTTTATATATCTGTGGAATGACCAGGGTGGGACAAAGGACTCTTGTCTGCTGTGGACAATTTCAACAGAAAGGAGGAAACCATGAAAATGAACAAAACCTGGCTACCAGTATTAAAAAACTCTAAAATTACAACAGCACAACAACAGAGAGGAAACAAACAAGGACATCTAATCACCTCTCAACAAAAGTTTGCTCCAGGCACTGTCAGGCCATTATATGCTAATCAAGGTGGTCAGTTGAAACATTCACACCTAGCTCCAGCAGACAAGAGTCCTTTGTCCCACCCTGGTCATTCCACAGATATATAAACCCTTTTTCCTAGTTCCAACAGACCTCACTACCTCTGAGGATGCTTGCCATAGATGCAGGCGAAACATCAGGAGAGAATGCCTCTAGACCATGGCCATACAGCCCGAAAAACCTACAACAACCCAAATCAATAAATAAATAAACAAACAAATAAATAAATTTATGCAGGTTCATCTCAATAAGTCAATCAAACAGATTTCTTCCCCATCCTCAGTCAGGATGAGTTGGTTGTGAACAGATTGCAGTGTGATAGAATTATAATTGGTATTTGTTTACATACACAGAATTATTGGGTTTTTGTTTGTCTTTTGTCAAATGTTGAGGTCCGTAATATTTTGTAATGTTTTGGTATAAATGAGTGCATCCAAACATAAACATACAGCTTTCTCTCTCTTCAAATCAATGTATATGTCTTTAGTCCAGGCTTAGGCAGGTGTTTTGGACTTCAACTCCCTCTAGGTGTTTTGGACTTCAACTCCCACAATTCCTAACAGCCTCAGGCCCTTTCCTTTTCCCTCTCAGCTGCTTAAGCGGCTGAGAGGGAAAAGGACATAAACATACAACTTTTTCTCTCTTCAAATCAATGTATATGTCTTTAGTCCAGGCTTAGGCAAACTTGGGCCCTCCAGGTGTTTTGGACTTCAACTCCTACCATTCCTAACAGCCTCAGGAAGGGACCTGAGCCTGTTAGGAATGGTGGGAGTTGAAGTCCAAAACACCTGGAGGGCCCAAGTTTCCCCATGCCTGGTCTAGCCTAAGAAAACAAGAATGACTTGGGTGGGAAAACAAATTCAGTGCCTTTCTCTGCTCAGAATCTGAGAAGACATCAACAAGGCATAAGATATATAATTGTGCACAACCTTTTCAGGTTATGAAGAGGAAAATGTAGACGATTCCCAATATGCCAATCCAGAAAAGGAAGACACAATTTCTCCATCCAAACCTACTACACCAAAACCAGAACAAAGGCCATCCCTGGCTGCTGGGTATGCCAATGTTTATGATTATTCCCCGCAAAAGCATCGGAATCTCTTAGCAATTCCTGGGGAAACTACACAGAGAAAAGAAAAGAAAGGACGGAAAATGAACAGCAAAGCCAACGCAGAAGGAACTTCACCCACGAGGAAGCCTCCACTGAAACAACGAATCATGGGCAACGCCAGAAACTCCTCGTATCATGACAGGACAGTCCATGAGTTATCAAACACCAAGAGGAAAGTGGAAGATAAAGGATTGCAGGTAAATAAAAGGCCCAAAGTGGCCAGGGAACAAAATTCATTCAGGCACAAGGATGCAGGTGGAAAGATCACAAGAGAACCAAGTCCAGTTCAGTTAGGTTTCAGTACAAATCAAAACAAGAACCCATCGATAGATGCCACAAAAACAAGGAGACAAGCTCAAGTATTTGACAAAAGTGCTGGAAAGGTCACCCTTCAAAAAACACCTGTTCATGAAGACCAGTGGTTTAATCAAGTGGATTCATACATAGCCCAGCATAAGGCAGCAGATGCTGCGAATGTCATTTTGGGAAGGGTGGATCTGGTTTTGCACCAGCCTGTTCAGACTGATTCTGTCCAGCCAACAGTCCAAGAGGAGAAGCACGATGGGGAGGTTGTGGTGCTGGAAGAAGAGGAAGAAAAAGCTGGTGAGGGGGAAGAAGACTTTGAATACATGCCGGTATTTGACCAGCTAGTGAACTGGGAGCAGACCTTCCAGGCAAGTAACTTGGACTTCCAGCTGCTGCGGACAGACTGGATTGATCTGAACTGCAACACTTCAGGGAACCTCCTTTTGAAAGAAAAGGAAGCCTTAGACATCACACAAGCTTTCCTAACAAAACTCAACCAGAAGAACAAAGGGTAAGATAGAAGGTATCTTTCAATCTCTCTGCTCTTTGCTTGGGATAAGAACTATAGCCCAGAGCATATACAGGCAGTCCTCGGGTTACAAACATCAAACTCACAAACGACTCATGGTTAAGAGTGGGGGTGAGACAACAGGAAGTGAGAGAAATCTACCCTCAGGAAGGGAAATTCACTCATGAAAGAGTTTTCATGGGGAAAAGGAGTCTCAACCGAAGGTTTCTCACCAAACCTTGTATCCACAACAAGCCAATTTTTTCAAAATCGAATTATCACAGGGACAGAAAGTGCAGTGAAATCTTTTGGTTTGGCTGGAGTTACACTATAAAAATGTATCTGTTCCATCTTACAAACAAATTCAACTTAAGAACAAGCCTACAGAACCTATCTTGTTTGCAACTTGGGGACTGCCTGTATTGGGGTTATGTGTACCTTGAACTTTTGAGGTCTAGCTCAGCAGATCTCCAGAACGTATTGTGAAATAAAGGAAGTATTGCTTTTCCTCCTTTACAGGGAGGTCTGAGCATATTTTGCTATAGTCTTGGAAAACATGTAATGTGGGATAAAGTTCCTTCTCATGCTTATCTTGAAATATACATTATCCAGAAATGCTAAGGGCAGATATTGAATTCAAGAGCCATGTAGCATAAACTGTGACTTCTTATTTTCTGCATTAACAGAATAATTCTCCTGTTTCCCTGAAAATAAGACAGTGTCTTATATTAAGTTTTGCTCCCAAAGATGTGCTAGGCCTTATTTTCAGAGGATGTCTTATTTTTCCATGAAGAAGAATCCACATTAATTGTTGAACCAAAAAATAACATTTATTATATACTGTACTATAGTTGACATTATATAATAGATGTACTTGCCCTCACACACAGTGCCACAAAAATAAGGGCTGTAAAGTACCTGGCTCCCAAACATTGTCTAGAGACTGTAACAATCTCCCGCCGCATTCCTGGACCACTTGTTCAGCAGGGATGGTATTGCAGCTTCCAACCACCAGGCAGTGCATGCTTCCAAACAAAAACTTTGCTAGGTCTTACTTTTGGGGGAAGCTTTATATTTAGCAATTCAGCAAAATCTCTACCAGGTCTTATTTCCAGGGGATGTCTTATTTTCGGTGAAACAGTGTAGTTACAGGATGATATCACGCCAGGATGCTGACCTTTAGCAGTTTAGGATTGGACCTAAATTGGGTGGGATTACAGATTTTGGCAAGGATGCAATGTTAGGAAAGTAGTAAAGTGTGGTGGGATATGTACATTGCAGATTTTAGTGCTCGTTTTAAAGCCAAGTTCTTGTCACTGATAATCTTTACAACTGGAATTCTGTGTGATGATTAGGAATGCAACTGCAGGGTGTTTCAAATGTGCTGAGTTTTAAATAATATTTGAAATGTGTTGAAATGTGTTCTAAATTGTTTTTATGATGTGCTATTAGAATATAATTGATTAGTTGTTTTATGTTTTGTAGAATAATATTTCAGCTGCAGTTTATTATATATTTTTGTAAGCCACTTTGAGCCCCTTGCTGGGAGAAAGACGGGTCATTAATTTATTAAAGACTACTGGTATCAGAGGTGGTCTTGGCCCTCTTCAGCAATATCACTGCTACCTTTCCTCCCATTTATGTGTTCAGCTAGCTACCCTCTGTCTCTCCCATCTATTTTGTAGAGAATGTGTCTTTCTTCCTCCTCCTAAAACAGTATTGGGTGGTTTTTGCCAAGGGAAATAATAAAGAGTACAGTGAAGATCTCACAAGGTTGAAATGTATCAGGCCTGTGTACTAAGTCAGACACAACCCAAGATCCCAGGGTGCAAACAGGGTGCTTTCAATTGCAGGCGATTCCAACTGCGGCGCATTGTAAATATAGAAAAACGACAGGATCACCTCCGGGGCAGCCGATACCTTCTTGAGCTGGAGCTTGTGGAGCAGGGAAAGCGTGTTGTCCGATTCTCAGAATACATCTTTGCACGGGACTGGCCCGGTGGGGGTGGCAACGAGGAGGAGAAGGCTATGAAGGACTTGGCATGGGGCCGCACGCGTCACCTGATGGCTACTATGGATGAACCAACCCTTTGCTGGCCATCAGGCTTTTCCTGGAATCACCGTGCTGTTGTCCACTTCATCGTGCCGGGTAAGCAGTGGTGGCCAGGGAGACTTAGATTGCAATGGTATGAACATATTGGATATTGTTAAAACAGTAATGGGAGAATTACGAAATTTAGCCCTTTGGTATTTATAAAATCCCTGGGTAAATATGTTGAGTTTCAACAAGGAACTTGAAAGATCCTACCATGGCTTCCCATTGTGTTTAGTTTAGCAGATGTGCAATATTTTAAATTTTTTGGTTTTCATAGAATCATAGAATCAAAGAATTGGAAGAGACTTCATGGGCCATCCAGTCCAACCCCCTGCCAAGAAGCAGGAATATTGCATTCAAATCACCCCTGACAGATGGCCATCCAGCCTCTGTTTAAAAGCTTCCAAAGAAGGAGCCTCCACCACACTCCGGGGCAGAGAGTTCCACTGCTGAACGGCTCTCACAGTCAGGAAGTTCTTCCTCATGTTTAGATGGAATCTCCTATCTTGTAGTTTGAAGCCATTGTTCCGCGTCCTAGTCTCCAAGTAAGCAGAAAACAAGCTTGTTCCCTCCTCCCTGTGGCTTCCTCTCACATATTTATACATGGCTATCATATCTCTCCTCTCAGCCTTCTCTTCTTCAGGCTAAACATGCCCAGCTCCTTAAGCCGCTCCTCATAGGGCTTGTTCTCCAGACCCTTGATCATTTTAGTCGCCCTCTCTGGACACATTCCAGCTTGTCAATATCTCTCTTGAATTGTGGTGCCCAGAATTGGACACAATATTCCAGGTGTGGTCTAACCAGAGCAGAATAGAGGGGTACCAACCATTAGTACAGGTTAATGGTGAATTACCTTATCATCTTGCTTAGCCTTCCAATGCCATACATTAACAATCTGATATTCTTTGTCACTGTCCCAAATCTCCCAAGGGAATGATAGCCAGCTGGCTTGAAGGCATAATTGTTGGATCTTCCATGCTTTATACAAGCAAAGAAAAGCTATATGTGTACCTCTGGTCTAAGAGGTTGACATTCAAAAATTTCATCACAGATGTTTCTTGTTTGTAAATTTAGCGATGTATGAAATTCACAGTTCAACTTTCACCCATGATAGAATCATAGCATCATGGTAGTTGACCTGGGGTTTTACTTGGTCTCTTATCCAAGAACCAAACAGACTCAGGCTTGCTCTGTTTCAGCAGAATGACTGAATCCACCAGAGGTGACCAGCTTCCACAGATTGAGAAGGCCACATTTATCCTTCATGGGACCTTTGAAGGGTCATGCTATTTTCATGTGCACTTCATACTGCAAGATGTATATCCTCCCTTTTTTGCTCATGTCTCCTAGGGAACACAGGGACAGTTTAATCATGTTTTTAAATCCAAGAGAGCTTTTATTTAAAGAGAATGTCAACCAGAAGTTGAGTTTGGCGACACTGGAAACTTTGCAAATGGTCTTGAGATAGCATGCCATCCATAGGTCAATATCTCTGGGCATGTTTAGCCTGCAGAAGAGAAGGCTGACAGGAGACATAATTGATGGCCATGTAGAAATATGTGAGGGGAGGTCATAGGGAGGAAGGAGCAAGCTTGTTTTCCGCTGCCCTGGAAACTAGGACACAAAGCAATGGCTTCAAACTACAAGAAAGGAAATTCCACCTGGACATGAGGAAGAACTTCCTAACCGTGAAAGCCGTTCAGCAGTGGAACTCTCAGATCTGGAGTGTGGTGGAGGCTTTTAAACAGAGGCTGGATAGCCATCTGTCAGGGGTGCTTTGAATGCAATTTTCCTGCTTCTTGGCAGGGGGTGGACTGGATGGCCCATAACATCTCTTCCAACACAGTGATTCTGTGATTCTCCACTCCTGCCCTAAACCACTGTGATTATATTTAAAAGTGGATCTGTGCAATCAGAAGTTGTTAAGTAGAATTGTTCCTAGAGGAAACTCACCTTAGATAAGTATTGGTGCTTCAATGCCATGTAGAACTCGGCAACCTCCTGACAAAACTGAAGTAAGTTTTACAAACTTTAAGAAAACAGCTCATAGAATCATAGTTGGAAGAGACCTTGTGGGCCATCCAGTCCAACCCCCTGCCAAGAAGTAGGAAAATCACATTCAAAGCATCCTCGACAGATGGCCATCCAGCCTCTGTTTAAAAGCCGCCAAAGAAGGAGCCTCAAAAAGTTTAATTCATATAAGATGAGTTTTAAAACCAGTTTTGCTCTGATTCTATTTTCCCTGTTGTCTCTTCTATCTATCAGTCAAAAACCAGGCTCGGTGGGTGATGCAGTTTATTTCAGACATGGAAGAGCTAGTGAAGGTTACAAAGGACCGCTACTTCAATGTTATCATCACAGACTACAGTAGTGACGATATGGATGTAGAAAAGGCTTTGAAAAGATCCACGTTGCGCAGGTGAGAGTGCACGTATTGCAAGAAACACATCAACAAACAACGACGTGGGCCACTGTTTGTGCAGGTTATGAAGGGCAACAGAAACCAATTTTCAACCCTGTGCAACCCTGCAGCCCATCCCTACCTGCTGGGCAAACTGGGTGATACCACAATTAAGGTTAAGGTTTCCCCTGACATTAAGTCTAGTCGTGTCTGACTCTTGGGAGTGGTGCTCATCTTCATTTCTAAGCCAAAGAGCTAGCATTGTCCATAGACACCTCGAAGGTCGTGTGGCCAGCATGACTGCATGGAGTGCCGTTATCTTCCCACTGGAACGGTACCCATTGATTTACTCACATTTGCATGTTTTCCAACTGCTAAGTTGGCAGAAGCTCAGCCTACCAGCGGAAACTTACCCCACTCCCCAGATTCAAACTGCCAACCTTTCAGTCAGCAAGTTCAGCAGCTCAACGGTTTAACCTGCTGCATCACCAAGTGGCCCGTGATACCACAATTATTCACTTAAAATTCTAAAGCCTCTAAGTAACTTTAACTAACTTTAGCCAACTCCCAGACATCACCGTTTCTCTGCTGTGTCTCAGTTTGGTATATTCTTACTTTGCAGTTGCATGAATTGCAATTTCTGTTTAAACCACACTTTCAGTTATTGGGATAAACAGGAACCATCGTTATGTTCCATAACCATTAATGTTGCTTTAGAGTTAAGCACAATTAAATTCAGAAGAGAGAATCTGTGTACCAGAAAAACTGGGCCACAAAACAAGGTGCTCTAGATTGCTTAGCAGTCATACTTTCCCAAAATATTGTTTCCATCATACAGGGAGGGCATGAAGAGTGTGTGAATAGTTAGTGAAAAATTAAAAAAATAAAGCAATTATTGTCTGACTTCTTTTCAGGTACCAGTACTTGCGATTGACAGGGAACTTTGAGCGCTCTGCGGGCCTGCAGGCTGGCATAGATTTAGTGAAGGTGAGCAATGGCAGCCTGGCAAGTTCACCTACAGAATGTGAGGTGATGCCTACAACATCTGAAGGGCTTCATCAATCGTAAAGGACTTAATCCTAATTTGGGAGTGGATAGAAGGGGATTGCGTCAATAGTACATTATGTCTCTTTAACTCTTGTCATTCTATAGCCTACATAACTATGAAATTAGTGGGATCTGCCTATGTGTCTTCTCATCATCCACCAACTGACAGGAATTGTGTGTGTTGAAGTCCAAAACACCTGGAGGGCCAAAGTTTGCCCATGCCTGGTCTAACCAACAAGACTCAGGATTGTGTTCAGTTCTTCTTTTCATTGGTGTTTTTGGGACACCTTCCATGCACACATGCATGCGCCACTTAAATTTAGAAGACTGTGGGGATAACAGTCTGACAGTTTTGTGTCTCCACTTACAGGATTCCCACAGCATCATTTTCCTATGTGATCTGCACATCCGATTCCCAGCAGGGATTATTGACTCCATTCGGAAGCACTGCGTGGAAGGGAAAATGGCCTTCGCACCCATGGTTATGAGGCTGCATTGTGGAGCATCCCCACAACAGCCCGATGGTGAGGAGATGTGGATAGAAAGTGTATTTTGTGCAGATTTGTGCCTCATGATCAATGCAACATTGAACAGATTTAAGGAAGTTCATAGATTAGCACAAGCATTGATAAGTTTGTGGAATCTAATAAAGGTAAAGGTTTTCCCCTGACATTAAGTCTTGTCGAGTACAACTCTGAGGGGTGGTGCTCATCTCCATTTCTAAGCCGAAGAGTCGGCGTTGTCTGTAGACACCTCCCAAGGTCAGGTGGCCAGCATGACTGCAAGGAGTGCCGTTACCTTCCCGCTGTAGCCACTGGTCTATGGTATTATATCATGCTCTAGTGATTAGGATGTATACTTTGTTAAGTTATTTATATAGACAGGTTTTATTCTATTTCAGTTGCTTACTATTATAATTGTATCCGTATTCCTCTACAGCAATGGTTCTCAACCTCTGGGTCCCCAGATGTTTTGGCCGTCAACTCCCAGAAATCCTAACAGCTGGTAAACTGACTGGGATTTCTGGGAGTTGTAGGCCAAAACACCTTGCTGAGAACTACTGTTCTACAGATTAGGTTTTTGCTTTGTTGGTGACCTGAGTCTGACACTGAATTGATTTAGCCTAATAATCTGTTAGAAGGAGGTGCTGCAGGTATTTATTGTTTGGACAGTCAATAACACAAATGTGACTGATGCTCTTGTGTTTTCCCTTCATAGGATACTGGGAAGTGAATGGCTTTGGTCTCCTTGGAATATACAAATCTGATCTGGTTCATATTGGAGGGATGAACACCAAAGAATTCCGGGAGAAATGGGGAGGAGAGGACTGGGAACTCTTAGACAGGTCAGTAAGGATGTGCCAAATGTCTGTGCCAATAGACTTTGTAGACCAAAAATCAAGGGTGGTCCTTCAGATGTCATTGGACTCTAGTTCTCATCAGCTTCTGCCAACATGATGGGAGATGGACTCTAACAACATGATGGGGGCTGGACTCAAACAACATCTAGAGAACATCAGGCAGTCAAATGTGTGCAGATATGCTCTACAGTTCTTTCTATGTGGTTGTTTCCTTGAATGTAGACGAATTCTCAAGTCAGGAGTTTCCACTTGCCCATCTCCTCTCCATCACTGGCATCAACTGGGCCTCTATAACTAAGGTGCCAAAGCAGAGAAGACCCCACTCCCCTTGTGGAAACCTCCCTGACATTCTCCTCCTTTCTTTCTCATAGAATTTTTCAGGCTGGCCTGGAGGTGGAACGGCTCGCTGTCAGGAACTTCTTCCACCACTATCACTCCAAGCGGGGCATGTGGAACCGACGTCCATTGAAGGTGTGAGGCAGGTTTGCACTCCTGGATCCCAGCATGCACTTTATTCAGGTCTGGCCCAAAGCAGAGAACATCCTTCTCTCCTACAGAAACCATAGCATGAATTCGGAGACTCATAACATATTTAAATGTCATGAGAAAAGAAGTCACAGAATGGAATGGAGAACACTTTCTGTAAACGAGGAGAGAGCAGCAGGAAAAAGGAAGACTTACCTCTGCTGTCATTTAACATTCAAAAGTGTATATTTTCTCACCAGCATCAACATATCCTAGCAATGCTTCCAGGAAGCAAAAAACATACAATATAGATTGTTTCCAGCCCATCACAAAAGCCTTTTTTAAAGTGCCTTCCTATTTCTTATTATATATATATATATAATGCTTTAAATTATTAAAAAGGAAACACAGAAATAATGCTGCAGTTCTTACATCCAACTGAACTACTTCTTACAGTTTTTGGTATCCTTTGAGGGCCTGAAGTTCTGGAAGGACAGCTTTTCTGCCAACGGAAATCAGAGCATTCTGGCATTTGGGTACAAATGAAAAGGTGCCAGAATCGCACAGCATGGGTTATTGTCTTCTTTTGAAGATACTTGAACAACAAAAACAATTCTGGAATTCATGCCTTTGGACAAAACATGACTCACCTTCTGTATATCTGTGCATCTACCCATCCAGGAGATTCAGAGGAGTGGATTCCTCTCTTCACTTGAAGCATAGTATGCCCTACTCAGGTACAGCAAAGGGAACATGGGCCTTGTTTTCAAACTGATGTAAATAGCATTTTTCCAGGATTATTCAACAACTCATTTGACTGAGTTATGGTCATGAAGTTGAAACCAAACTAGGACCAGAATTAGTTTATGACACAGAATGGTGTTTATCTTGACGATTGTATGGAACGTTGAGCAAATGACACTGAGAAATGGCAATACGGACATGAGACCAATTCTTCTTTTTTTCAAACCTGTATGTAGCCTATCACTTGGGAGATTCAGTTCTAGGCATGTCTACTCAAAAGTCAACCCCATTGAGCTCAATAGCTTTTATATGTCTTTCCCCCTATTTATTGTGCAATTCTAATGTTGTTAGCGAGTTTGCATTTTTATTTCAAGGTGCTGTAAGTCACCCTGGGAGAAGTCATTTTGAAGGAGAAGATATAACGTCATTTTGTAATATAGTTTAAATTTCAGTTACAATTTTTTACATTCAGGTATTGATTGTGTATGAAGAACAGGTGTACTTGCATCTCTCACAAAAAAGGAGTTCCAGAAAAGAGTATGTCTGTGCCAGCTTTGTAGGAAACAGAGCTGAGAGGCCAATGTGGTGGAGTGCTTTGACTAAGACTCTCAAATCCCCACTCAGCTGAGGAAACTTTAGGCAAGTCAATTCTCTCAGCTTTGGACTGTGGCAATGACAAACCCTCTCTGAACAAATCCAGTGAAGAACACCCTATGATAGAGTTGCCTCACAGTCACCAAGGAATTACATGAAGGTGCACAACAATAACACATGTAGCTATTGACTATCTGCATTGCAATTTTAGAAGGACAAACAAGGCCACTTTCTCTTGCGTTAGTTGATACAATATTTGAGCATGACACTCTCAGGAAATCAACCTTTCGACTTTGTTGAAGCAGATTGATAGCAGTTGTTTATTTAATTGAGGTTTGTGGCTAAATGTGATGGAGAGGGAATGGACTTGCCCATAAGTCTCCATCTTTTTCCTAAATTGGGTTCTGGCTATAACATACTATTCAAGAATCTTCTACATTATTCTCTGGCTCATTGATTATCATAGTTGACAATCCCAAATCTTTCTGTACTTGTAGACTCCGGACACCTCCTTACAAGGAGCCCCCAGTGGCGCAATAGATTAAACCCTTGTGCCAGCAGGACTGAAGACCAAAAGGTCAAAGGTTCGAATCTGGGGAGAGCGTGGATGAGCTTCCTCTGTCAGCTCCAACTCCCCATGCAGGGACATGAGAGAAGCCTCCCACGAGGATGGTAAAACATCAAAACATCCTGGCATCCCCTAGGCTGTGTCCTTGCAGATGGCCAATTCTCTCACACCAGAAGCAACTTGTGGTTTCTCAAGTCACTCCTGACACGAAAAACAACCCCTCCTTACAGAGACTGTGTTTGGTGCCAGGAAACACTCCATAGGAACAAGGAAGGCCTTATTAGAAAAACTGGATCCCAGTAATATGAGGGAGGAACACATAATGATGTCAGCTTAGATTCAGTGTGTTTGCACCCTGCACAAGGCTGGCATTGTGGCCATGGAAACAGTAGAGTGTTGAACTCTCGGTCTTATGAAAATAAGTTCCAAATGTCTAGAAGTTGAGGCACAACTTAAATACAGTTTTGCAAAAAAAAATTGAAGCTTGATAATAGTTGCTTATAAAGAACCAGCCCTTGTTGACAGTTCAGTCCTGGATTAATTACCTTCCTGCCCTGATTGATTTGTGTAAATATAGGTATTGTACAAAAGTGTGAGAAAGATTTCCAACTCAAAGGGCTAGAATATAACTGCTTAGATGGCCAAGCACAGGGAGATATTTTCAGAGACAAGAGAGGTTCCCAGGATTGCGGCCAATTGCAGAAATTGACTCTAGGCAATAGCTTCTAGGGGTCAGCTGCTTAAACACTCCAGGTTCAGAAATGGAATTAAGGAGATTTGGCCCAATGAGGCCAGGATGTTTCAGGTAAAGAGATCTCTCCCAACTGTACCCCACCAACCTGTACCAGCACATTCATAGGGTGGCCTATGAAGACTTGTCATGCAGTGACATTTCTATTTAATGAAAATAATGTGGAAGACTTGACAGTGTGGTTCAGAAGCGTGAAAAATGGATCGAACAAGGTCTGTTTCCACCCACAACCAACCAAGAGTTAAAATATTTTTTTTCGTACAAGAAGGAGTATTTTGGTTCCTTTGATTTTGGTACATGCTGCTCAGTTCTAAATATAGGAAGTCAACAGCTGGTGCATTTCCTATGTGTATCTTGTTAATTTATTTAAAGAATATGATTGATATCTTGTTGGTTAGTCTCAACTGAAATAGATAGATTCAGTTGGTTGTATGGTGAGTCACCATGTAGGAAAATTCCATGGGTTCAGTGGGTCTACCATAGTGAGGACACACAGAATTTAGGCCACATTTGTCTAAATTAAAATGTTCTGCCCTAGAATATGGTTTTAAAATAGCCAAGACTTCTGGCTTTTGTTTTGCACATCTACAGCATACTTTATTTTTGTATAAGATTGCAGGTACAGATACAGTGATTTCATAATTGGGGACTATTGGGGAAGCTGCCGATACCAAGACAAACCAGTGGTCTATTCAAGCAAGCAATCCATGTGGGAATTCAACTCCTGTATTTCATCGCTTATAGGTTACTATGATATGTAGTGAAATGACACCCAGAGGTCCATATGATTCCCAGCTCTGGCCTAGACCAGTGGTTCCCAACCTTTGGTCCTCCAGGTGTTTTGGACTTCAACTCCCAGAAATCTCAGCCAGCTTACCAGCTGTTAGGAATTGTGAGAGCTGAAGTCCAAAACACCAGGAAACTCCTGGTGTAGACCAATATTGCCAACTTTAATTGCTAGCTCTCCAGGATCTGGGATTGTTTTGTGCTTGAACAGCTTCTCATCACAGTACTTACCAATACAATGGGACTATGCTTCCACATTCAAATGAGACTATGGTAGCTATAGATTTGGGAGTTGTAGTTAAATGGGTGCAGATTAAATTGATTGAGATAAACAATTCATTTACTGAGATTTGTCTAACTCAGAGATGGGAGAAAGTGCAGCCTGCAGTTGCCTATGGCCTACCGTCCCAACTTGCAGGTGTCACACCTCTCCCTCCGAATCACCTAAAATTAAAAAGAAATTCATTGCCACTGTGTGTGGCCATTGCAGCCTGCTGTTGAAATTTTGCAGCAAACCAGAACAAAAGGTTTCTGGCCACAGAGCACCTCCCCACCCCCCCTTAAGCCAGTCAGAGAGGAAGTTCGGAAACATGAGCAATGTAGACAGGAGCAGCATCTCACTGCCCTTATGAGAAGACTACCTTTCCATTTTACTTGGGGATGGAGAGAAAGACCTTTGAAAAGGACTTGCTAAACCCTGGCCCCATTCACTTGTCCACCCCTTATCTAATAGTTCTCATAGGCACCACCAAACACTGGGTGTAGGGTACAAGTTTTTCTCTCCAGTCTAGACAAAAAACCAAAATGAAGGGTACTGCTGTATTGTCTGAATATATGGTTGCTGTTCGATAGTCATTATTTTTAATGTGATCTTCCTTGACGTACCTCTGTAAATATTTGAAATGTTGTTTGGTGTATTTAAATTCTGCTTCGCCTCTAAAATGTGTGCCTTAAAGATGAAGCTCAGCTTTTTCTCATTTGTAAGAACCAAAAGCACCTCAGTGAGTTTATAAATACAGTTTTCTTAATGAAAATGAGTGTGTTATGTCTTCTTCTTTTTTGCCCACCCACAACATTCTCCAATGATGAGAAATCAGAATTTTCTTTTTTGAACCCCAATCTCCACAATGACCAAAAAATAAAAATAAAAAGGATATACGCAACATAAATGGGCCGGGCTTTAACACAGATGGTTAATCACCAGCAGCAACAGATCATACCAATCAAAAGATTGGCAGTTTGAAGCCCAGGTCAGGGTGAGCTTCTGCCACCAAAGTAGTTTGAAAACAGCTTTGAGCTGTGAGTAGAGAAATTAGGCACCACTTAAGCGGGGAGGTATTTTACAGCACCATAAAAATGGAAATACCAGAGAATGCCAGCAATCAAAGGAAGGAGGAAGTTTGTGATCAAGGGCTCTTCATTATAGAGGATGGAGTGACAGCACCTCACTGTGGCCAGGATTGAGCACAACATCCAGGACCCCGAAGTTGGGAAAACTGTTGGCATATACCTCTATCTGTTGTTTGTCCTGTCTGTTTAACAGTATTGAATGTTTCCCATGTATATATTCTGTGATCTGCCCTGAGTCCCCTTTGGGGTGAGAAAGGTGGAATATAAATGCTGTAAGTAAGTAAATAAATAAATAAATAAATAAAGGATACTAGTCGCCATCTTCTGCATGGGACAATGACAACTGAGTACATGAAGGAACAGTTAACACCATAGGATAAAATAAACTTTAATAAATAAAAAAGAAAGCAAATAGTACCTGCAATATGCAAAAGATCTTTCAGTTCTCGGTGAGATAAACAACAATGCAAGTCCTTTCAAAATAATGTAAAATTGCACAAAGCACAGCGCTGATTTAAAAAATAACCATATGTCCAAAACAATGTGCTACATACAAGAATAAGGTTAACTTGTGCTGCCTTTAAAATACTTTGAATGGCTATTAACAATGTTTTTTATTAAAACAAGCAAAAGTTTGAAATCTAATCCATCACCTCTGTTTGTTGGTAGTTACTATTATGTAAGCTGTATTCTATATAAAATATATAAAGCATAAAGAAGTAGGATTAGATTCACACTGTGTAATATAGACAAGACATTTGATCTTAGGGAGCACTGACTCCATGTTTGCAAACTTTTGTGTGCACAGCACTGTTTCACTGCTGCTCATAACATGGAAATGGGTTCCCAATGGATCTCCAGGTATATCACACATGGTAGCCTTTTCAACAGTGAGAGCTCCATGCCTTCACTGGAACCTCAGTGCCACCACTGAGGCATGATGGATGCTCTTGGGTGGGAAACCCTTTTTTCTTCTTTGAGGGACACATCCCTTTGGAGGTAGCCTATCAGAAGTTGCATGTCAGTGATAGGTAGGGCTGAAGCCAGCCATGGGTGAAGCCAGAATATACTTTTCTTTGTGCCCATTTCTGAACCATTCCCTTTACCAATTTCTTCTGTAAACTTCTACTCTCCTCCCTTCTACCTCCACAATGCCACCTTCACCATGCTGGAAGGTGGGTTGATCCCTTTTTGAAATTAGAAACAAGTTACCCAGGTGATGTATCCTTATTTCTCAATGTCCTCATAGCTGGTCCTCTCTTTTCCCTGAACTCAGACTAGAGATATCCTTCATGCTTACACCTGGAAGAAATGGGTTGCTTTCCAAGTTAGCCTACAATACATGATCTTCTGGGACTCACACTTTTAAACAAGAAGCTGGTTAATGCCGATATATTTTTGTATTGGAGTGATGGGAACAGAGACAACCAAAATGAGTAGGTTGTTCTCTAGGCAGGTGGGTTGCTGTATGTTTGCAGGAGGTGGTTTAATTCATCATTTTTTTCTGACACATGCAACATTAGTGTCTCTAGATACTCATTTTGGTAATTCCTAATGTTTCTTATTAACCAGTTATTACAGGTTTTTCATTCATTTGCAGATATATCCAATTTTTCAAAAACTTCAAAACAATTGTTCCTATTGACTGCTGCTACTCTTTTCCTACGAGCAAAGCAGCTTTCCCTTGTATTAAACCCTTTTGTATAATTGCTTGTGGATCTCATTGCAGGACGTTGGGAAAACAAAGAACAGTGAGTTCGGGGGAAAGACAATTATTCTATATCTTAAATTAAATGAAGAGGTTCTGCTTCTGCAATAAGAAAAAATATCTTCTACTCTTCAGAGCAGCAAGCACATTGTAGAAAGAATGCCCATAGAGAACCTCTCAAAAGTCTGTAACTGGGTTGACCCAAAAAGTTGCTTCTCATATATGGAACATCAGGTCCGAGGTCAGAAAAATTGTAAAAAAAAAAATCCAGATCATCCGTCATGTGCTCCAGCCTGCAAGGAAAGCCAAAACATTCAGAATAGCTCTGTATCTTACCTTTCCCAGAGTATGTGATGTAAAACAGGGTTTTTAATGTAGCTCTTGAAAGACAACAGATGGTGATTATGCCACATGGGGGCACATATGATTTTATTGAAATGTGGAAGGGGTAAAAGGCAGCTTATTTAAATGCTACATAATTTTATGATTTTTTTTTTCAAAATGTGGCTTGCATCTGAAACTATGATGCAAAATTTATTTATTTTGGGTATTTTTACCCCGCCCTTCTCAACCCCCTAGGAGGGACTCAGGGCAGCTTCCAGCCGGCACATATTCAATGCCTACAATTAAACACAATAATACACAACAAACAGTAATTATAAATAATTAAAATATTGAGCAAATACAATAAAATCTACTAGAAAAGAAGCCAGCCTGGTGGCCATCGTTTCGCCAAGTTCTGTAATTAGTGATTCCATTCAGCTTATCATAATCCGTTTCCAAAGTTCTTGTCGTCATTGTCCTTGTCAGTCTGCCAGATTACCCAAAGACCTGGTCCCATATCCATGTTTTTAATTCCCTTCTAAAAGAGAGGAGGGATGACGATGATCTAATTTCCCCGTGGAGTGAATTCCACAGGTGGGGGGCCACCACCGAGAAGGCCCTGTCCCTCGTCCCCGCCAATCTCATTTGTGACAAGGGCGGGGCTGAAAGCAGGGCCTCTCCAGAAGATCTTAAATTCCTAGGCAGGACATAGAAGGAAATACGTTCAGACAGGTACGCTGGGTCGTATAGGGTTATATAGGGTATTTTACTTTACAACGATACAGATATGTTGTTGTCATAAGATGCACTGGGCTACTGAATTGTGCTGATGCACAATGGGGCACTACACAGCATATCCTGTTTCACAATGGAGCTTCCCATTGAGCAACGGACACATTGTGCATTGCAACATGTTGTGTGTTGGGACTTTTACACAATAGTCAGACTGCTGGATCTGATTCTGCAATGGTCCCAATTCCATAGCTACATCCCTGCTCCCTTTCTGTCAATATAAACATTGCACATTGCAGCAATTTATCTTTATAGAAATGTAATTTGGTTTACAATGGTGTTGAACTCACTCCCGGCCTAGAGAGACTCATTAGACATACTCCCTGATGAGTTTGAGAAGGTTAATAACAACCTTAATAATAATCCATTTTAATTATATCTTCCCCAAACCTTCCTATTTCCAAAAAGTTATTTTATTTATCTTAGCCAGATATTTGAAACCTAGTTATCTCTCTGAACTGTTAGGAAAAAAGATGTGCCAATGCTCAAAATATATAGCAGATCTTCAAAAGTGTTATTTCTGTTGCCCAAAAACATCTATTCTCCCATAAAATATACTGCTTTTAAATCGTGCTCTCAAGAGACAAAAATACATAGTCTTCATTAAAAGCAACATAGTTGATTTACTTACAAACTTCATGTGTTCAGCATACAGGTACATTTCTTATTAGTTGAGAGTTTAAATAAGAAGATCTTTAAAGCAGTGTGTTTCAGTCTCTTTGTTGCATACAGAGTCACACTCTCTTCAGCCTGATACATTACTGAACACTGACTCAATACAGACTACACACTGCAGCATATTGACACTACCTATTTCTAAACTATATGGTACTACTCCTGATGCAAACTCCCTGACATGTAAAATGGAGTCTTAGTCTGAATAGTCCCAGATCTGGTCACATGGTCTGCAGTCCCTCCCACAACCTCAAACAACATAGAGTTAAGAGAAAAACTGCATATCAAAACATATTTATCTTTATAGAAACATAATTTGGTTTACAATGGTTATGAACTCACTCCTGGCCTCGTTAGACATACTCTCTGATGAGTTTAAGAAGGTTAATAACAACCGTAATCATCATCATCATCATCATCATCATCATCATCATCATCTTTATTTATATTCTGTCTCCTCTCCCCAAACCTTCCTATTTCCAAAAAGTTATTTTGTTTATATATTAGCCAGAAATTTGAAATCTGTCATAATCAATTTTATTTGTTTAATATTATGTATAATCACACATTATTTCTCCACTATTTTGATATTGCAGAAGTCTCCAGGAATTTTAGGTCCATAGGAATGGAGAAAAATTTCATGAAAAATTGTGAGCTTCTCACAGTATTTATTCAGTTGGGAGTGCTACACTGAGGCTTGGGAGACTGCTCTAAGTTGGACAGGATGCCAGCCATCATCAATAAAATAGGTACTTTCCCTTAATAGCAAACACAAATGGTTAAACATCGACAGGATTCGAGCAACAATGGGGATTAAGAAAAAGTACAACCATGTAACTAGGAGTTCAAACCTTTCTTACCCTTGCAAGGCTCAGTAGATTCTCCGGCCATAGCCACTTGGATAAAGTCCTGTCTTCTGCACACCAAAGGCGGTAATGAAAATGTTGACAATGACTGTGATGAAGACAAGGATTGTGGCAATGTTGTTGAGCAAATCCAGACGTTGCTGTTTCCCCACATCATTCAGGTTCAATCGAGCTATAAAGACAGAAAAGAAACCAGAGGCAGAAATCAGATGGAGGGACCCCAATATGTTTTCCTCTTCTCTTACCCACAAAGTGAATTATATTCTTTTCTCTCTTTGGGATGTTATTGTTCTGTTCTTTTCCTAGTATGATTCCTAGTTCTTATTGTCACAAAACCTTTTCACCACAACTAAACAATTCTTGCCAGGGTAGCAGATGGAACCCCCATGTGCTGGCAGGACTGATGACCAACAGGTCAAAGGTTCACATTCAGGGACAGCATAGATGAGCTCCCTCTGTCAGCTACAGCTCTCCATGCAGGGACATGAGAGAAATCTCCCACAAGGATGGTAAAACAGCAAACATCCGGGCAACCCCTGGGCAATGTCCTTGCAGATGGCTAATTCTCTCGCAGGGGATTCAGGGTGGATTACAATGTACACATATATGGCAAACATTCAATGCCAAATACACACAACATACATAGACAGACAGTCAGAGACTATTTAACTTTTCTGGCCACCAGGTGAGCAGTCACTTTCATTGTCCATCTGCGACACTGATGAAGTACTTCTGCATTCCCTGCATGTTTTGCTGGAGTCTTTTTTATGGCCTCATAAATTAGTTAAATTAGCCTCCCCACACATAGGTGGTACCTAATTTTCCTACCTGACAGATGCAACTGTCTTTCGGGTTGCAAAGGTCGACAACAAGCTACACAATTACTGAATGCCTTTACAATCATATACAATGAGACACACAAACAAAGGCAGAGGCTTCTCCTTCCATTTCCCGCTTCTGGAGGGGGTGCTCATCCCTGGCTCTGGGGAGGTGCTTTTCTACATTTTCAAGCTGAGACTACACCTCTTGGTTGTGTAGTTAGCAAGACTGCTTGGAGTGTTTCTTTGCCTTTTCCCGCCGAAGTGGTACCTATTTATCTACCCACATTTGCATGTTTTTGAATTGCTAGGTTGGCTGGAACTGGAGCTGACAGATGGCAGCTCACCCCGTCTTGCGGATTCGAACTGCCAACCTTCAAGTCAGCAGTTCAGCAGCATAAGGGTTTAATTCATGGCAACTGTAGTGCATCTTGGCTGTATTTTGCTCTGTATATCTCCCTGTGCTGCATCTTGGCTGTATTTTGCCATGTGAAATGCTATAGTAGTTACTATCTTTTTACAAACTGGATTGAACTGAAAACCAAATTCAATGCCTGCCAAAATAAACAGTGCAAATGTTCAGTGATTCATTAAAGACAACAGTGCCATGGATTGCTATTTTTAGTACTTCTAGAAGCTTTGGCCAGAAGAGCATCAGCTCAGGCACGGGCGAACTTCAGCTTTCCAAGTGTTTTGGACTCCAGCTCGCACTATTCCTAACAGCCGCCAATTGCACCATTCACACTTGCCCCAAGCAGACATGAATCCTTTCTCCCACCCTGTACATTCCACGGATATATAAACCCCATTGGGCTAGTTTCTAACAAACCTCACAATCTCTGATAACGCCTGCCATAGATGTGGGTGAAACATCAGGAGAGAATGCTTTTGGAACATGGCCATACAGCCCAGAAAACTCATAGCAACCCAGTGATTCCAGCCATAAAAGCCTTTGACAACACATCTACACAGCTGTTGTCCGACCACTGCAGAAAGTTTCAGGGCAACTTAGAGGCAGAACCCAAGTGCAAGTCATCTTCCCCATCAACTACCATGTTGGTTATACAAATTTTGAAGACAGACTGGAGTAGGATGTGGAGGGACAGAAGGAGAACAGAAGGGAGAGAAAGTGGCTTGGTTCTTTGTAAAAAGCCAGCACAGTTTTTCCTACAAGGAGCTGGAAGCCAACAGGAATGGTCCACTGTTTGCAACGCAGCTCTATATATAGAAAAAAAAATCTATTGAGGCAACAGAAGCCCAAGTTCATGACCCTGTCATTCCTTTCAACGCCAAACATACTAGCAGAGAAAGACAGGCCTGTGTGCTTCATGTCGGGAGACAGAAAGGTTGACCCGAGAGCAGGCCAGAACAGAACTGGAGACCGTCTCTCTCCATATGGACACATAAGGGCAGCACAGGAATGCAAGGGGTTGGTCAAAAAAAATAGAAAGCAAGACCACCCTGGGGGCTTATAAGTCTCAGAAACCGGGTCTACAGGGGATGATGAAAGAAGATATGCAGCTTAGGGACGGGCTGGAACACCGAAAGAGCCATTGGCCTATTAGTTCTATAAAGAAAATATTTTTAACAACTATTCTCAATCAAAGAGAATTTGACACACCATAGAAATTAAAGGGGTAATGCATAGAGTAGCTCACGCGTCTTATTTATCAGAGGACATTGTTCTATTTGGGGTGGACTATAATAATAATAATAATAATAATAATAATAATAGCTTTATTTGTACCCCGCTACCATCTCCCCAAGGGACTCGGTGCGGCTTACATGAGGCCGAGCCCAGAATACATCAGTGAAAACAACAACAGTAATACAAAACAATAAAATAAAACTCATAAACAAAAAATAGGCATTAAACATCAACAATAACACAATAACATTTAAAAACCTATGACTGGGCCAACTGTAATAATTAAAATTTAAAAAATAATGCTGGGCAAGACCAGGTGAAATATAACTAGGATAGAATTTTGGAATAGAATGGGGCGTAGAGACAGTCCTAGATCACTAATAAAGAGCAATTGGGGACATATTGATGGGAGTTTCCTTATTCTGGGAAGGCACACTGGAACAACCACATTTTCAGGGTCCTCCTAAAGATTGCCAAAATTGGGGCATCCCTGATGTCCTTGGAAAGTGCGTTCCAGAGTCGGGGGGCCACCACCGAGAAGGCCCTCTCCCTCGTCCCCACCAATCGCAGCTGCAATGGACGTGGAAGTGCGAGCAGGGCCTCTCCAGATGATTGAAGAGATCGTGTTGGTTCGTACACAGAAATGCGGTCACACAGGTAGGCAGGTCCCAAACCGTTTAGGGCTTTGTATGTAAGAACCTGCACCTTGAATTGGGACCAGAAAATGAACGGCAGCCAATGGAGCTCCTTAAACAGGAGGGTTGACCGCTTCCTGTAAGGAGCCCCAGTTAACAACCTGGCCGCTGCCCATTGGACCAATTGAAATTTCTGGACCGTTTTCAAGGGCAGCCCCACGTAGAGTGCATTACAGTCAGAGGGCAGCCCTTTGTTTTAAGGAAAGCTTTGAGGAGAAAGACCACCAGAACAGAGAATAAGGGCCATAACTTTGTCTAGCACAGACATGGGCAAACTTCGTCCTTCCAGGTGTTTCGGACTTCAACTCCCACAATTTCTAACAGCCTCAGGCCCCTTCCTTCCCCCCCTCAGTCTGAGCCTGTTAGAATTGTGGAATTGTCCAAAACACTTGGTACCCACATTTTTATTTATTTATATACAATTGTTTACCTTAACCCAACTCAGATCTCTGGGGTTTCTGGGTGATCTTCTATTTAGCCACTAGCTAGGTCAACGAAGCACATGTCTTCAGACCACATGCTTTTTAGGTACCTAAAACATGCATAATAACCATTCAGTATTTCTGTTTGGACAATATTCTAACTGCACTGAAGAAATGGGGCTGACAGAATAGTGCCATGTATGGCCAGCTAGCAAGCCTGAAGCAAAGATGAAGTCTAAAATTGGAAACCTCCTGACATGCAGCTTGTAGGCTCAGCCAGCAACTTTCTAAACTGCTATGTGTCGCATCTAACTGCACTGAGCAAAAGCTGGCAAACCTAACACTCCAAATCTGCACGACTATGACAACAATTATGGGAATTTACTTTGGCAATGTAAATACAATTATTCTGGGCCTTAGCTGTGTACACATACACACAAAAGAGTCAGAACCGTGTGAAGATCCTTGCAGTGTGTCGAGTAAAAAGGGACGTGTACACTGTCACTCACTGGGGAAATTTGTATTTCACATAAAGCATGAGGCCTTGTACACATGATTCCGCTAAAATCACCCCTTGGGCAACATATTACTCATATCACACATTACTCTGGAATTGTTTATTGCACTCATGGGAGAGATCATAAGAGCTAAAATCATGGGAATAATTATATCAACAACATCAACAAAGAACAACGTGGATGCGGTTCTTGATAAATTCAATGATGTGGAATGTGTGGCCCTCCAGATGTTGCTGAATTGCAATGAATACCAACCAATGGACTGGAGGTTTGAACATCTAGAGAGCCACAGATCATCCTCTTTACTATATACGAGAGTTATCAGAAAATAAGGTTACAAGGCACATAGCTCTCACAGGGGGAATTTTGGCGGGAGAAGTTGGTATCACTGCGATGTAGCGGGAAGCCAATGGAAGCAAACGAGCAGTGCCAGTTGTCAGTAGCTCATCAACTGGCATCGTGGTGAAGCTTAGAGATGAGCGTCCTCGTTCCATTTCCCTCCAAGTGCGAAGCTGTAATACACTACCTAAATGCTAAGGGCATGAAAGTCGCTGCAATTCATGTGAAATCGTTTCAGTTTATGGAGAGGATTTTTTTTGTCATGTCAGGAGCGACTTGAGAAACTGCAAGTTGCTTCTGGTGTGAGAGAATTGGCCGTCTGCAAGGACGTTGCCCAGGGGACGCCTGGATGATTTGATGTTTTTTTTATCATCCTTTTGGGAGGCTTCTCTCATGTCCCTGCATGAGGAGCTGGAGCTGATAGAGGGAGCTCATCCGCTTCTCCCCGGAGTCGAACCTGCGACCTGTCGGCCTTCAGTCCTGCCGGCACAGGGGTTTAACCCACTGTGCCACCGGGGGCTCCTTATGGAGAGGATGTAATGTCAAGACAGCATGTACGGAATATATTGTGAGACTATGAAGAAACTTCGCAGAGCCATTCAAAGCAAACGTCATGGGATGCTGATGGCGGGAGTGTGTTTCCTTAATGACAATGCACACCATTCATGCAACACAAGAGTAGTTGACTTCATTTGGTTGGGATGTTCTAAGCCACCTCTCTCACAGCCTCAATATCGCACCCAGTGACTATCATCTGTTCACTAAATTGAAAGAACACCTTTCCAATGATGATGAGGTGAAAATCGAAGTGATGAACGGGCTGAAAAGGGTGGAGGGAAACTTCTATGACACGGGCATCAAAAATTCCTCCCATGGATGACAAACTGTATTGAACTGAATGGTGATTATGTGGAAAAATAATGTAATACCAATGCTACAATCCATGTAAGTTTTATTAAAATATATCCATTCTTTATATTTAGAAAAAATCTTGTAACCTTACTTTCTGGATATCCCTCATAGGTTCAAGTGTGAGCTGTCTCTAATCGGACCCCATTCAAATATTGTCAGGCATGAACATATTATGTGGCCTGGTACAAGCCATTGTTTGTCAGCCTCCGATACCACCAACGCTCAGTGTACAATATAGAGGTGACCATATTGCTCTATCTTGATACAGACTTAAATGAAATAGTGCATGTCATAGTGAGGAATCATTCTTTTTGTCAGAGGAATTCAAGGAGTGAAAAAAAAAACCAACCTTTCCAAGCTGTAAGCAACCAAAGCTCTCTGGTTCATCTCACCTTTCCTCTTGTAAAGTCCTGCAGTAAGACCTGTGGAAAGAAGCCAAGCACCTTACCCATGAGAATGAGGAGTATCCCGATGGCTGTCTGGAAGAAGAGGGAAATGGTGATGAAAGCTGTCAGGACAGCATAATATTGGAAGGAAGGCCCCTGTTCCAGCACCGCCTTCAGCTGCGCTGCGTTGGCCATGAACAAGGCCACATCCAGCATGCTCTCAGCCACACTTTTCTTGGTTGCATAACGGTTTATGTTGATAACATGTTCTGTCCTGGAGCCAGGATTACCAGTCTAAAGGAGGAAGAAGAAAGATGTATGCATGAGAGATCCATGAGATGAGATGAGATGAGCTCCCGTCTGTCAGCCCCAGCTTCCCATGCAGGGACATGAGAGAAGCCTCCCACAGGATAGTAACACCTCTGGGCATCCCCTGGACAATGTCTTTGAAGACGGCCAATTCTTTCACACCAGAAGTGATTTGCAATATATTCTCAATTTGCTTCTGACACAAAAAAATGATCCTCTGAAGATGCCAGCCACAGATGCAGGCGAAACATCAGGAGAAAACCATACATCACTTCAGTATCTCCAGGCTATAGTTAAAATGGTGTGTATGAAATATAAATAGGAGCCTCCAGTGGCGCAATGGGTTAAACCCTTGTGCTGGCAGGACTGATGACTTGATGATTGGGTTGCTGACCTGAAGGTTGCCGGTTCAAATCCAACCCAGGGGGAGCGCGGATGAGCTCCCTCTATCAGCTCTAGCTCTATGCAGGGACATGAGAGAAGCTTCCCACAAGGATGGTAAAAACATTTTAAAAATTCGTGCATCCCCTGGGCAACGTCCTTGCAGACAGCCAATTCTCTCACACCAGAAATGACTTGCAGTTTCTCAAGTCACTCCTGACACACACAAAAAGAAAGAAATATAAATGAATTTCATCTTTAGATTTGGATCTCATCTCCAAGATATCTCATTCTGTATATATATATACATTTACGAGTATTCCAAAACTTGGGGGGGGGGGGGAATCCAAAATCCAAAATTTATTTATTTATTTATAGTATTTATATACCTCCTTTCTCACCCCTGGGGGGACTCAAAGTGGTTCTAGTCCCAGATACCCTGATCACAGATTCTCAGACTTGTTTTTTTTTTCCGTGTCAGGAGCAACTTGTGAAACTGCAAGTAACTTCTGGTGTAAGAGAATTGGTCGTCTGCAAGGACATTGCCCAGTGGACGCCCAGATGTTTGATGTTTTGCCATCCTGTGAGAGTCTTCTCTCATGTCCCGCATTGGAAGCTTCTCTGGATTCAAACTGCTGGCATTTCGGTCAGCAGTCCTGCCAGCACAAGTGTTTAACCCATTGCGCCACGAGGAGCTCTAGTATTAACCTTATATTAACCAGGGTTGGTTCGACGTAGGTTTCGGGATCTGGGGCATTTGGATCTTCCCCTACCAACCTACAATCCTCATGATCTTTTTTTCTTATTTTAGCACTGTAAATTGAGGAAAGAATCTAATAAAGTTTTGAAACTAATTCCCTGCTTGCTACTAAATGTCAAATACACTGCTGTTGTCAAAATAACCACAGGGTGGCGCACAGAGCACCTTCTAAGCTGGCCTTGCCCATTCACTAGCAGTAGCAATGAATGGGCCCAGAGCCCAATGGGAAAGAGTGGATGTTGCTGTAAAAACAGAGCCAGAATAAAGCGTACAACTGCTGGAGATAAACAAACATTTTGAGTGCAATCCAGAGAACCTCCAGGAGTTTTCTACAACCGCAATCTAATCCTGTGTGTTTAGTCCCATCTGTTTGCTATAGAGCTGAAAAAGAGGTCACTGCCTAATGGTTGATGTAACTGCTTCTTCTCCGACATCCAATTCTGGCGTTTGGAACAGGCACGACAGCCCCAAAAATACAACACAGATTTACATCTCCTTACTAGTGCCAGGGGTTCTCAATATTCATTTATGCATGCTTGTCACTGCTCACAAAAGCCTCTTTATTCCCGACGAATATTTTAAAAATGGAAAGCATTGTAAGCACTCAAATGTATTTCGACCACACCATCCCCTGTTTCTGCACATGGTAAAAATAAATGCAATTCCTGACATATTTCCAACATTCTTACAGATTGAGCTCCTGAAATATTATTACATTTTTTAAAAAAACTAGGAATTGAGACCAAAGAACACCCCAAATGGCTTCAGCACTTTGGACAGATCTTGCAAAGTTTAGACCACGCATGGGCAAACTTGGGACCTCCAGGTGTTTTGGACTTCAACTCCCACCATTCCTAACAGCCTCAGGTCCTTTCCTTTCCCCCCTCAAGTTCCTGAGGTGGAAAAGGAAAGGGCCTGAGGATATTAGGAATAGTGGGAGCTGAAGTCCAAAACAACTGGAGGGCCCCAATTCGCCCATGCCTAGTTTAGACTAAAACTAAGGTCAGATTCAATGCCCCACTGAAACACAAGTCTCTTGCTACTAGTGTTGCAGTTTTCAACAGAATGGTAGCCAGTCTCTAACCATGTGCAAAAAAAGACATACAGCCGTGCACAGTTCATTTAAAACTATAGGGCAAAACATGATATTGGTCATCAGCCACTCCAAGAACCATAATAACAAGTCAATAGTCCACAACAGCAAAGGAGCAAAAGTGGAGTCATTAATTGTGGCCAGTCTAAGGTCCCGGGCTTTAGCACAGCAAGTTAATCCCCAGCTGCAATAAATCTTGCCAACCGGAAGGTTGACAGTTCAAAGTCGTGGTCAAGGTGAGCTCCTGACCTTTAGCCCAGCTCCCTGCCCCTTAGCAGATTGAAAACAAATGTGAGTAGATAAATGGGTACTGTGTTAAAGCAGGGAGGTATTTAGGCACAGCATTTCAATCAGAAAAAGGAGGAAGTTTACGAATAAAAGAAAGCTCTTTGGCAGGGAGATGGAGCAACAGCACCCCCCTTGGCGGAACCAAGCACAGCCACCAAGATGCCAAAAAATGGGAAACTCTCTCTATATATCTCTATCTGTTCTTTGTCTCGTCATTATATAATCGGCATTAAATGTTTGCTGTATATGTGTTCTGTGATCCACCTTGAGTCCCCTTCAGGGTGAGAAGGGTGGGATATAAATACTGTAAATAAATAAACTACTGAAAATTACTGCCAGTCACCAGAAAAGGATGATCGAAGGTAACAAAGCCATCCAGGAGTGGCTGGGGATTGTATAGACAGCTATCGCAAGACACCAAGTGCCTAATTAGATCATCATCTCCTATTTAATAGCTCCTGGGCTATTACTCCTTGTCTTTTTATTGCTTAATCAATGGTGGTAATAGTCTTCCACAACTTCCTACTGGGGAAAAACATCTCACTTTTTGCCTCAGCCTGGGCAAGACCACCGTTATCAGGAGTTGCGGATCCCTGGCAGTTTGTCTCCTTTTCTCCTTCTCCGTCATCTGATTGCATAGAGTGAGTTATGACCGTTCCATCATAATATAGATAGCTAAGAAAATGTTGGGTTAATTTAAAATGACCTAGGAAGTAGGAATAGAAAGTCCCTGATAATGCTCTGAGTTTCCAAGAAATACCTAAACATTGGGGGGGGGGGGGGGGCATCATGTGAATCTCTAAAATAAAACAGCCTCAGGCCTCTTCCTTTTCATTTATTCAGGGATTATTTTCTCATCTGAAGGCATTCCGAGAAAATGTGTTATGGCATTAATCAAGACTTGTAATTTGATATAGGGAGAGACATTCAGAGACTTTTTTTTCTCCTTGGGGAGGAGGATCAAAACCTCTGTGATTTGGAAGGGAATTTTGCATATATACTGAGGCCAGGTCTTAACTCCTAATACCAGGGATTAAAACTTTGAACTAACTGTTTTAAGAATCCCAACACTTCATTTGATTGAATGTCCACTTTAATTACTACTTTTTAATGGAGGGATCCTTGCCTTCCAAATACAGTCAAGTCTTGCTTATCCGACATAAATGGGCTGCCAGAACGCTGGATAAGCTAAAATCTCGGTAATATGGAGGGATTATGGAAAAGCCTATTAAACCTGAGCAAAGGCAGGAGGAAGGAAGCGGGGGGGGGGGGGGGGCTCTTGACATCACTCCCAGGCTCCTCCCACATGTGACCCCCCTTCCTTGCCTCCTGCCTTCAGTGCCCGCTTTCTTTCTATCTTTCTTTCTTTCGTTTCCTCCCTCTTTCATAAAGAAAACATTTCCACAAAGAGGCCACTTCCACGAAACCTTGCCTGGGCTGAATGCAAGGCCCCTGGAAGAAGAGAGACAGCAAGGAGGGAAGCGGAGTCTGGAGCAGGAGCCAGAGCCGGAGAAGGAAGAGAGGAAGGAAGGAAGGAAGGAAGGAAGGAAGGAAGGAAGGAAGGAAGGAAGGAAGGAAGGAAGGAAGGAAGGGGAGCCTCGTTGCAATTCTCTGAGGAAGAGGAAGAGCCTTGTTTTTATTCTTCCAAGCCAGAAGCAGCCAAGGCGTGTCGTATAATACAGAATGTTGGATTAGCGAAGGTTGGATAAGRGAGACTCTACTGTAAACACGGATCAAAAGTGGACATGCATGAAAAGTTATGCATGTCATKATTTCCCCCTTCCCCATTCCAATAATTTGATATGGGCACTTGGTTCTGATGGAATATACCTTCTCCCCCTTGGAAGGATGTTACAGCAGCCAAATTCCTGCACAGATTGCTTTTGGATCCCCCTTCCAAATGCCCAATTGTTTGTTGTTGGTGTTGTGTGCCTTCAAGTGGTTTATTTATTTATCTATCTATCTATCTATCTATCTATCTATCTATRTATRTATTTATTTATTTATTTATTTATAYTATTTATATTCTGCCCTTCTCACCCCAAAGGGGACTCAGGGTGGATCACAACGTACATATACATGGCAAACATTTGGTGCCATTTTTGACATACAAGACATACAGACAGATAGAGGCCATTCAGCAGTTCTTCCACCAGATCCAGGAGGTTGCTCGATTCAGCCCCAGGGGGAGCTGTCGCTTCGTCCACTATGATGTCGAGCCTTTTTGATAGTAGTACGAGGGGTATTTTTAAAGTAAGGTCCGTTTTGTTGGAGACACTAGTAGTTCGCGCGCATACCGCAACGAGCACATGCGTTGTGTACCGGCATGCCTCAGGAACAACTGTGCTCAGTTTCCACTCTGTAGTAACCTGTACGGTTCTGTTCTGTGCTTTAAAAATGTTTAAGACTATCAACTCACCCTCCGCATGTGAGGTTCGCTCAGTGATACGGTTTTTGTCAGCA